ATCTCCACTGGTGACAAATCCTCCAGATTATGGGTTTCTATTGAGTCTGACATGAGGTATGTGACAAATATAGCAATAAAGTTAGCACAAAAAGTGGTTACTATAACACGAATAACTTAAGATAATACGGAATAAACTAGTTATATACTCAAATTAGTTTACGGATAATCAGGTCTACTTTTACGATTAAGTAAAAAAAATGTTAATAACAGAAATGAGGTTAAATTTGTGTTCAAAAAGGGCTCACCACTTTCGTGCCTTAAGTAACCCTCGTGCTATTGATAGAAGAAACCAGACAAGTAGTGAATAGGTCTTTATTTCGATCTTAGCGCGGTGACAGTGGAGCATGGGATTATCTGTTCAGACAAACAAAGGCTCTCAACATTCAATATAAGATAATAGGGAATATAACGCTTATACAAAACAAGGAAGTGAATGAATACTTGAACAATACTGTTTTGGCATATACTTGGTTGTTTGGGGTCAACTCTTAACCAACCAACCTAAGCTGTTACAGATGCATCTGAGAAAAGAATGGGTACAGGTTTAAGATTTAATTTAGACCTCTCTTTGTAGGTCTTCAAATCTGCATCGTCCACTTTTAGTTTAGCTAAAGCTTCAAGGCTGATGTTGTGGTTGTGTACCATCATGTTGATATCCTTTCTAGATAGAGCGTCGGCGACAATGTTGGAGGAGCCTTTGATGAACTGGATGTCCGTAGTGAATTGAGAAATGTAATCCAGTTGTCTGGCTTCCCGTGGAGAATGTCTGTCGTAGGACGTGTTGAAAGAATAGCAAAGTGGTTTGTGATCAGTCATAATAGTGAAATCACGTCCCTGAAGCAGGAAGTTGAAGTGTTTTACAGCTAAGTACATAGCCAGAAGTTTGCGTCCGAAGGTGCTATAACGCTCTTGAGTTGGTGATAATCGTTTGGAAAAGAACGCTATAGGAGTAATCTTGTCGTTAACGCATTGCTGCAATACTGCTCCTACTGCTTTCTGGGAGGCGTCAGTGCAGAGGATGAGGTTTGTTGTGGGATCGGTGTTTAGGTGCTGTAGCATGGTAGCATTGGATATCATCAATTTCGCTTTAGCGTAAGCCCCTCTGGCCTCAGGTGTTAACGTGAAGGTATTCACTTTTTTGGTCTGAGCTGCGGTTTTATCCGTCTTCAGTAAATCCGTCAAAGGTTGCAAAATGGCCGCACAACTAGGAAGAAAACGTCGGTAAAAATGGCACATTCCCAGGAACCGGCGTAATGCTTTTATCGACTTGGGCTCAGGAAGTTGACAATGGCTTCGACTTTTTTTAAACGGTTTAATTCCTTGTGAATCAATGTAATGTCCCGGGAACTCCAGAGCGGAGGCGCCGAATATACACTTCGAAGGATTGATTACAACACCATAACTTTTGAAACGTTTGAAAAGTGTGTGTAAGTGCTGAACATGTTCTTCAGCGGAAGAACTGGCGATTAAAACATCGTCAGGATAGACAAAAACAAAATCCAAATCTCTGGTTACTTTGTCCATGAATCTCTGAAAGGTTTGGGCAGCGTTTTTTAATTCGAAAGGCATCCTCAAGAATTCAAACAGGCCAAAAGGTGTGATTACGGCTGTTTTTTCGATATCCTAAGGTGCCATCGGTATTTGATGATATGCTCGGACAAGATCTAACTTCGAAAAGATCCGTTTTCCGTGTAGATTCAAAGAAAAGTCGTGTAAGTGAGGAATGGGTATCGATCCGGAATAGTCAGGTTGTTTAAACAGCGGTAGTCTCCACAGGGGCGCCAATCTTGATCCTTTTTCGGGACCATGTGTAGTGAGGAAGCCCATGGGCTGCTAGATGGTCTGATAATACCAAGTTGCATCATATGTTCGAATTCTCTTTTAGCTACTTGCAACTTGCTTGGCGGTAGTCTCCTCGCCCTGGCGCTAATAGATGGACCGGTGATAATGATGTGGTGTTGCACCTGATGTGGATTACATTCCTTTTGATAATCTGATTTCGTGATGCACTCGTATTCTGACAGAATGTCGTTAAAAACATTGTTCGCAGGTTTCATTATCCGTACACCATGGATTTCACAGTCGTTGGAAGGTGTACCATCTACCTGTAAACGTGTATTTGCGTCGATTAATCTCTTCTTGGTCATATCTACTAACAAATTGTAGGCACTGGGGAAATCAGCTCCGAGGATGGGTCGTTTGACTTGGGCAACTATGAAAACCCATGTGAATCGTCTTCGGAGTCCGAGGTCTAATATAAGAGATTGCTCTCCGTAAGTTTTGATAATTGTTTCGTTAGCCGCAATGACAGACAGCTTAGTGCTTGTTGTTTGTTGTCTTCGGGAGAGGTGCAGTGGGATAATGCTAATTTCTGCTCCTGTATCGACTAAAAAGTCCGAACCGGAAATGCGATTCCTGATGTGAAAGAGGCGGCTAACTTGTTGGCCAGTAACAGACGCCGCCATTACTGTCTGGCCACTTCGTTTCCCTGATAGTTTGGGTTGTTTGTCGTAAAGTTGCACGGTTTAGTGCAACGACGTGCCTTCTCCCCGAAAGTCGCATGATACCAGCAAGTGTCCGCTGCTCGTTTGGATGACATAGTGCGAGGTCTGGGCCTTGATCGCTTTCTCGAGATCGATCTGGCAGGACGAGAGTGGGTCGTGGCAATGGTCGCTTGCAACGATGCTACTTGCTGAGTTAAGTGTGCTATTTGCTGCTGAATATCCAGAGGGGGGTTCATAGCGTCTCTACTAGAGGTTTGTACTGCGTTGATTCCGCGACTATGGGGATATATTTTCATCATCTTATCAGCCATGTCAGCTAAGTCGTCGAGGGTGACAGAGGTTCCTGAAATACTGAGAATTTGTCTAACACTATGTGGTAACCTTTGTAACCACATTTGCTTAAGTAGCGTCTCGTCTAATTTGTATGAGCCGGCGAGCTGTCTCATGTGTCGGAGCAACTATGGAGGTCTCTTATCCCATAGTTCGCATGAGGTAAGCAGTTGTTGTAAACGTTTTTCATCTGAGAGCGATGTGCGTTGGATTTCTGCAGCTTTTATCTTGTCATAAGGGTCAATTTCTGGTACGTTGTCGATCAGATCACCGACTTCCGTTGCTACTTCTACAGGTAGTGCACCGACGACGTGGGCATATTTGGTAGCTTGCGAACGTATACCCCTCGCCAAAAATAGTGCCTCAACTTGGGTAAACCAAATTCTAGGGTTGTTGACACCGTATGTTGGTAATCTTAGTTCAGAAATAGCGTTGATTGAGTTTAAAACATTATCTTCTGGCTGTGATGAATGAAAGGGGTTGGTTGATGGGCTATCTATATCAATAAGTTTATTAGGAGAGTTCATAATGTCAAAAACAAAAATGGTGTGTCGTACCAAATAATAATAAAAAAAATATGTAGGTATATATATAGAAGATGTCTAAATAAAAAAAAATCGAGGCTCACGAAATAATTGTGGTGGACCAGACAGATATGAACGCGAAAAGTATAAACAAAGTTACTAAAGATCAATAGTAATATTAATATATACAGTTAATTGTTACAAATACAATAAAAATTTGGGACGTTACTTAAATTGACCAAACGTTGCGTGTTCTGATTGGGTCCGGTAATGTAAATCCACAATTATAAATGCTTGGTGATTCTGAGCAGGTTGGCGAACTCTCCAGTGATATAATCCAACGTAGAATGTGATATATTCCAATTACAGTCTATAAATAATGATGGTATATGATTTAGACTTCAGTTAACTCAATCGCAAACTAAGATAGAACGAGGAATGTGAGAGTAGTAGTGTATTTGTTAGCCAGTAAGAGTATGTCACGCTATGTCAGAATCACAACGGAGTGTGTTCAAGGTCATTTACTAAAACAACAGTTACAATCATTTAATGTTAAATATACATACGGTGGAAGGTTGACAAAATGAATACAAATAACATTGAAAACTATTTACAAAATAAGCTTGTCAGGTCTATCTCCACACTTGTATCCTGGTTTATAGCTATCTGCACATGCGCTAGCGTAGGAAGTATCTGCCATTAGATGGTGGTTGGAGGTAGTCAACAGGAAACCCTGGACCCGGGTTTCGTGCTACTTGGCACTCGTCAGCAAGGTGTACCTGTAATCTTGAGGGAACTGGTGCTCCCTGGCGGATTCGATCTCGTGTCACCCAGCTTCACAGTCAGAGACGTTACCACTGAGCTATCCGAGCCGTGACTAACCTCCTGTAGGACTGAGATGTAATCACAATTGATTGATCACTGGGTGGTGATCAATCTCATGCTTGTCTAGTCCTTATTAGTGCAGATCGAATGCTATCGATCATGTGTCGAGTCACCTAGACTGGTGGCCACATTGCAACATGATCGATAGCATTCGATCTGCACTAATAAGGACTAGACAAGCATGAGATTGATCACCACCCAGTGATCAATCAATTGTGAGTATCTGCCATGTCTAAACGGCAGTCGTTATAAGCGCTTTTATGCTCAGGGCCATTTTTATCCGGTGTATTGGTATTGTAGGATGCGAGAATTCTTCGTCCTGATGTTGATTGCTTTTCTGATCCTGGGGGTCAGAATTTGGATGTGAAGTGGGAATTATTTCGGTACCATACATATTAATAGTTCTAGGATTTGAACTCAGCATGCTCTGTTCTCCCAGTTTTAAATTGGTCAAATACTGTGATGAATTTTTTAATATCAGTAGGTGGCTTCGGAATGATCCGTAACATGTTGAACTGTTCCGTCAAACTCACCAATTAAGCGAACAACATTATCTTGAACTAACTCTCAAATATCAGGAAATATGTTATTAGCCTTGTTCTTCATTATGATACTAATTTTCAATCATATTTTTAATAAAGTTGTGTTGATAGATAGCCTTGCATTTATCTCCAGTGTATTGTAACATAGGACTACAGCTTGGCACGTTGTACAAGTAGTAGGGTCGGGCGTAGTTCAAAAATAGCCAAACAAGGATGGTAGAGGGCTCCAGCTTGTCTGTTGAGTCTGTGTTATCTGCCATTGATGCGTTGTATATGAATCCAGATACATCTATCAAAGAGCAAGCTTCAAAATGGCTGTGTGAATTTCAAAAATCAGTAACTTTTCTTACCTACATGACCTTTTAGGTTTATGCTTGGCAAATATCTGATCAGTTGCTTTACATGAATAGAGATTTAAATTCTTGTTACTTTGGAGCTCAAACCATACGCAAAAAGGTATGTTTTATATAGGAGCCAGTAATGCTTTAAGATTCAATGTCACTTTACTGAACTCCCTGTGGAGTCGCACGAAGTACGTTTCCATTATCTATCCAGCTTAGTTCCAGGGACTAAAAAACTCTCTCCTGCAACATGTCCAAGAACTTAGAGAAAACACTAGCCTACCGATAGCAAATCAGTTGTGCTTAGCCGTCGCAGATTTGTTTTGCCATATGGTTCAGTGGAAAGATGGTATCAAAGATATTGTTTCGAAGTAATTGCAGAGTATTTATTAAAATATTTCCACAGATTTTCAGAAACAGACGTCTCCTGTAGCTACTTAATTGACATTCTGAAATTTATTCCTGAAGAGGTAGAGAGCATGTTATTTTAATGCACTTGTAGATGAACAGCAGTACTCTTCGACTAGGAATGAATCGTCGACACGCTCTTATGAGTCAGTTTGAAGGGAGCAAACAGTTTGTGTTGCAGTTTCTGGTAAGCATTTGACAACCTCAGGTTACATTGTGCATCACTTCACTACAAATCAGTTGTTGATACCGTATACATCTTTTTTCAACGTATGTCCTTGTGAAGACAAGTTTTGCAATATGATATTTTGTAGCTCTACTATAAGTGTAGATCACATGTATTCTTTACCGTCAGCAAATAAATTACGATCTTTTGTTAACTACCCTTACATTTTTACATACCGAGTCATCTTGATAATAATTTTAGAAGGATATCTGTCCTCTCATTCATCGTCAAATTGAAGTGGTCTTAGTTCCCACTCTAAATTTGCGCTATAACTTATTTCTTTGCTATTTTGTGTACCACTCCATCAGAATTACAACACATACTCTTAAAACTTTTGTTGCTTCCGTATCTTTTGGAACGTAATTTACTTTATATCCTATTTACATATTTCTTGTTCCTTAAGTAGATATGGTCATAAATTGTACTGTTTACCTGTTTCAACCATTTCCATTTTTTACATACACCCAAAGTTGATATATAAGCATCAAGAATGTAATTCAACTAGAGTGCTTAAGATACATCTTGAAATATGACGTATCAGAGTAGGACATAAAAATGAGCTATCTTCATTGCTACATATAATCACTGTAGTTGATCAAAAATAGCAGGCATGCATTACAGAAGAGAAAAATGCACCACACAAATGAATTGTTTTGTTGTACAATGTCCCAACTAATATGGATTTCTGGAGCTAGTCCATCTGAACATGCTACTCCCCTCGTCTTAGATTGTCTATGGCCTTTTCAACCCCACTTACGTCAATTAGCCATTCATGTATATTGGGGGTGGTGGGTGAGTAAAGTATGGCTGACGGTCAGTTAAGGTGTTCAGATATTCAATACATAATAAGATTCTCGGCTACTGAAAGCCTGGTTTTTTCAGTGGTTTATCTTTTGTATTCTATGGTAATCATTTACCACACTAATTCTTTTAAGTACTTTTCTCAACAACGACGAACTCCAACTTTCTTTAAAAGCATAAGGTCTTTACTATGCCAACCAGATTCCCCATACATATTATTGGGTAGAAACGTTTTATGGTTTAAATACTATCCATTCTGTCTTTTACCCGTAAGATATTTACTCTTTTGTAACCGCTTTCGGAAGTAAAGTAAAAGTTACCTTAGCCACATCATATTACAAATCTGATCTAGTTGTTGTTAAACTTTAGAATCAATTTCATATTTGTAGTTTGAAATATGTATTTATTTTCAAACCATTATATCAAGTAGTTAGCCACAGAGTTTTTCACCCAAAACGATAGCACGAAATAGGAATAATTAATTAATTTCACAAGCATTGTTTGTTCTTGTTTAAAACAAAGGGAAAAATTCCAAAATTCGGTCTCATTTTGTCTTTGCGTAATTGATGGTATCATTACTAGATAGAAGTTCCTTTGCGTGAACCAATAATTTTATGCAAAATCCTGTTCGTAAGCCTTGAAATGATGGTTTTGGCTAAGGTAGACGGCATTAGTGCTTGTGTTATCAATACTGAGGTCTTTTATTTGTTTTTAGTCCCACAGAGCAAAATCTGAACAAATGGTTATCTTAGCTAAAGTATATAATTGTCTTGCAAGTTGGTGGGATAATACTGGAGTCATGGTTGAACACGATGTACCGATTGACCCTCTCTTAAACACTGCATTTGCTATCCTTCGGAATCCTTCCACTACTCCTGAATCAACTTTCGATGCAGCATCTCAGTGGGTGCTAGCACTTTTATACCAGTGTAAGGTAAGCCAATTTATTTTAGCTGTATTACTGTTAATTACATGTCTGTAGATTAACCTTGTACTAGAAAAACTGTAACTTCTGTATGGCATATTCAACATTTTTCGCTTAAATACTTATCTCCGCTTTTTATGTGCGCCTTTTGAATGTCCCATCTTACTGTTAAATGTTTCGGAACAGTTCTTTAGTCGTTAGAAGCATGTAGGGATCAAAGTAAATCCTTACTTGTTATGAAACTTCATAACAAACCGCTTGTCTCCTTCAAACTGACCTAAAATAGTATCGACGAGGACTCGTATTCATCTACAAATACATTCCAGCAACATTCCCAAATTCCTGGAAAATGAATTCCAAAGCACCGATCAACTTACTTCAAGAAAAACCTGTCTCTGTCAAGTCACGATAGGTTGGTTCGTCGATTTATGAAGCCTCCATGGTTTTATATTCTCTTAGCTTATCCTAATTCTTAAGTGTCATGTAACATTGAATCAAGTAGTTAGCCTTTCGATTTTGGTCTCTGCTGAATATACTGATCATATATGCAGGTGAGAATTTTTTATATAGTAGATTGAATGCGCCTAGCAGTGAAATCCGGGGTTGGGATACTACATTTCTCTTCAAATATCAACGCTGGCTCATCCAATTAGTGATTTTCGAACAACACGAAACTCGCGTCCTTGATTTCATTGCTAGTCACATTCCGTCTATTTTATGTAGACTTATGTCATAATGGATATATCGAGGCAATCCTCGCAGGATGCACATATACTAGGACTGATTAAAATTCACTCGAAATATTAACAATAGGATAACCCAAACTATTACAAACTAAATTAAAACTTTTGCCTTTTTCAACTTCGTTTACTTACGTTTTTGTGGGAAAATGGTTACCTTCCTTTTGTTAATTCTGATTCAAGCAACTTAGCAACTCAAACAGTGAATTACTGCGTTGGCTTCAAGAAAATATTTACAGTCTAGTTAGTGTTGTGCAGGAATGTTCCAATTCTGTCGCGTCTGCGTTAGGATCAATTCAACAGCAAGAACAGCTTGAACTGTACAAAGATCGGTGTACTTGTTTGGCTCACATTTTCTCGTCATTAGCCAGAACTTTACGGCCTCCTCTAGTAGATCAGCCCACTAGCCCTGGATCTGGTGGTCTTGGAGACTTGCGTACTATGGAGTGTATTCTTGTAGTTCTTGAAATACCTCCGCCTCTCGGTAGTCGTGAATTGGCATCTATTACATTCCACGCCTTACATTCGTTGGCTGATGATGCAATTCGAGTAAGTTTGAAGAACTGTATCTTTATTAAGTGTCTAATAATATTTCTAACGTTTCACTAAAGCAATCAATGGCTTTCTTGTTTGTCTTTAAACCAACTATATTGACACTCGCTCTACTACTCAGCAAAGGGATTGTACTACTTTTTATTAAAAATACGGCACTGATTATTCCCTAACCCGTAGTGTCACAACTGATAACTGATAAAAACTACAATGATGGGTCCATTCCTAAGGCTTTTCGAATTTAACTAAATTTTAGTATTCTGTGTAGACAGAAGTAAATTTATATTCTAAAAGCAATTAAAAGCAAGGAATGGACCATCAATAAAATGATTCATGGATAAGTAAATCTTTGAAAAGAAGAAAGTAATATGGCCAAATAATCCGGTGGTAGGTAGTTTAGCTTAGTCTCAAAGACATTTCTTCCTTTGGGGTATACTGAAAATAAGAAGCATATTTTGCGAACCAGTTAAAGCATACTGATGAACTGTTAAATAAAGGTCAAGTAAATCATAAAAGAATGTCTCTACCTCCTATTCCGATAATAAAGAATTCAGCTCTCAGCAGATATCCATACTGTGTCATTTTCCCATAACATTTCCCCCTAAGTTACAAACGTATTGCCATCACTGTTTATTGTGTACTTTCTAATTTGTTGAACATTATGGAATTTATTTACAATGACTTTTCGGACTCTTATTTGAATTAGCACCGGTCCATGAGTGCTGCAGTATCTGTGAATCAGGGCCCCTTGGAATCTTCGGTTAACAACTCTAATACCTCTACTGGCGTGGCACGCCCAATTGCAGCCTTAATTCCTTACTTCACTCGCGTTGTGGTTGCGTTAACTAGTTACTGTCCTAGTAATACATCCGACTTAGAAAGCACCGATGAATTAAGAGATTTTCGTGAGGATGTTCATGATCTCATGCAAGATATTCTGGGTTTGGTTGGAGCTGAGGCTATTTTTGTCGAGGTAATTATATATACACAATATTATATAATTGGTGTGATTTCTTAAATACTGTTTTTATATTTTTATTAACTTTATTGTACAACATTCATTTCATATTTTGAATTGCGCTTGAGTTTGATCAAGGTAGCTAGTGTGTGACCAGTCGTACAGTACCAAGTCCTACGTTGATAAAGGTTAACTGCTGATTTTTCCAAATAGACGTCATGGATGGTTGTTTGAAATTTGTCGCTCTCTAGTCTTATAAGTATTTTATGGGGGATGGAAACTACTGTGTCACCTTTGTCATGAACCGCATCAATAACGATGTGTATAAAATTATAGCTTACATCCGCGTGTGGTAACAACAAAGTAACATCTTATTTATTTATTTATTTATTTGGACACATGAATATTGGTACAAGAGAGCGCCAATATATATGCGCCACACAAAACAATGAAAATTCGAGAGGAATACAAAGAAAGAAAAAAAAAGCTAAGGAGCGCAACAAAAAAAGAGAACAATAACGAAGAGATTGGTGTAAGGTAATGTGCTAGTAATCAGGGAACGCAAAGGTACAATCGGAAGAAATCTTTCAGGTAAGGGAGACAGAACCACTTTTTATGAAGAAAGTAAAAGAAGGTTACAGCAGGATCGCCACTGGCTTCTATTCTGAGCCATATCTGATAACGTCTCTAGCCACTGTGTAGCACCATCTCTCAGACCCCAACCAGGGAGTCGTGAAGGACCAACACAAGCCAGTCCTTTGCAGCTTTCTTTCATGCCACGACACCATGTCATGCACTGACCACCTCTCCGCTTCTTCCAACCAGTCCCAGAGTCGGCAAATAATGCACGACGTGGAATTCTCTGGGACGACATTCGGAGAACATGTCCAAGCCACCGAAGTCGGTGTTTCAAGATGGTGACACCAATTGAATTATCATCTCTGTGCCCGAACACACGATGCCGAACCTCTGCATTACTGACATGGTGTTGCCACTGAATGTCAGCAATCCTTCGGAGACAGCGATGATCGAACACAGAGAGTCGTCTAACGTCCTCAACTCGGAGAGGCCAGGTTTCACAAGCATAGAGCAAAACTGCTCTCACCGACGCGTTGTAGATCCGACCTTTTACAGCCAGACTAACATCACGAAGGCGCCAAAGGTGGCCCAGATTGGCATAAGCCGCTCTGGCTTTCACTATACGTGCATTGATCTCATCACTCACACCACCACCAGCACTTATGCAGCTACCCAGATACACGAACTTCTCGACTACGTCTATCTGCTCACCATCCAGGGTGAGTACAGGATTGGAATCCTGCCAGTCTTGTAGAAGTACTTTGCACTTCGAAGGTGCAAAGCACATACCATACCTACGGACACTGATTGCCAACTGATTAAGTGCGGATTGCATGCCTTGGGCATTATCGCACAGTAAGACAATATCGTCCGCATACTCAAGGTCGAGAAGTCTTTCTCCAGGCAACAGATCCACACCACCATTACTTACATTCATCAGAGCTGTTTCCAGAATGTCATCGATGGCAAAGTTGAAGAGGAATGGTGAGATTGGGCAACCCTGCCTAACCCCACTGCTCGAATGGAACAATGGAGAGAGGTGGTTGTATGCCCTCACTCTGCCTGAGGTGTTTTTATATAGGGCTTTTAGGATGTTAATAAACTTCTCAGGCACACCCTTCTTCAATAGACAATCCCAGAGAACAGTCCTGTCCAACGAATCGAAGGCAGCCCTGATGTCAAGAAACACTACGATTGTTGGCCTTTGATAAGTATGGCGGTGTTCTAACATTTGGCGGAGGGTGAAGATATGATCAATACATCCTCGACCAGAACGAAACCCAGCCTGCTCCTCGCGAGTCAATCTTTCTCGGGTTTTGAACAACCTACGAAGTATGACGGAAGCCAATAGCTTGGACGCAATCGGAAGTAGACTTATCCCCCGATAGTTGTTACAGGAACGACGTGAACCCTTTTTAAAGATAGGGACAACTATCGACTCATTCCATGACGTTGGTACACTCTCTAGTTCCCAAACCTTTGTAAACAACGTCGTCAATTCCTTAGTCAAAAAGTCACCACCATCTTTAAAAAGAGCCGGAGGTAAGTCATCTGGGCCAGGTGATTTGTAACGCTTCAAGAGTTGGAGTTCCTTGCGGACTTCCTCCTCATTTGGTGGATCAGTCGTCACCGGCCATGGAGGGCAGGACAGTCTGACCGATGTTGCCGGAGCAGCAGGCCAGTTGAACTGCCCTTCGAAAAATTCTGCCCATCGTCCAAGACGTCGATGGATGTTAGTGATTGGCATCCCATCATCCTCGCAGATTGTTTCACTCACACCAGACTTCTTGCTGCCAGTGGCTCGGATGAGCTGGAAGAGCTTCCGGTAGTTACCAGATGCAGCTGCTGCTTCCAGCTCATTAGCACGCTTCGACCACCAGGCTTCTCGGTCCTTACGCAAGCTTTGCCCAATTTCCTTACGTAACATCCTTCGTTTATGGTCAAACTCACGGTCACCCGGAGTAGACCGACGGGCTTCAATGAGTTGTAAGGAACCAGAAGAAACCCAGTGCTTAAAAGCGGGACGTTTCGCAAACCCACAACTGACTGTTCCCGCCATTTTCATGGCGTCATGCAATTGCAACCAATGCTCATCTATACTTTTCGGTGGAGTGGTAGCTAGCCTAGAGGCTAGCTCGGTTCGATACTTACTTGCAACAGAAGTTGCAACCAGCTTGCTAACATCAATCTTTTGGTGGTGGTCACTTCGTTGTCCACTGAAAAGTAAGGCAAGATTGGCGCAGACCAAGGCATGGTCAGAGTCCAGATAGGTACTCCAAAAGGAGCGGCAGTCTTTTACACAACCACGCCAGCGGTAGCTGATCGCGATGTGATCAATCTGAGTCCAGGCTTGAGATGCAGAGGGAGGACGCCAGGTGGCACATCGGCGATGACTGTGCCGAAAGTTAGTGCTAGCCAGAAACAGGTTGTGGTCTGTGCAGAGTTGCAGTAGACGGTCCCCGTTATCTGACCTGCGACCAACAAGTCCCCATCGGCCACCTAAACGACTCTCTTCTGTGCCTAGACGCCCGACCTGAGCATTCAAGTCTCCGGCTAGTACTACAATATCTGTCGAACGCACTTTCTGGAGAAGAACAGATAACTGGTGGTAAAACTCATCCTTGATTGCATCCGGGCTGCAATCTGTCGGGGCATAGGCGGAGATGACGAAAAGACATCGTTTCTCACGCCGATTTCTTCTCACTTTGATGGAACTTTCTAATCTAACAGCACATAACCGACTGTTAATGGGGATCCAATCGACTAGTGCTGCCTCAGCTCTAGCGCTTAGTGCGACACCAACGCCAGCAAGACCAGACGAAGATGCCACAGGGTCCCCGGATAAGCGCACGTAAAACAAGCTTTTCGAAGCGACAGATGGAGATCGAATTTGTAGTACTTCGCCAGAGTCTTGAATACGGGTCTCGGATAGACAACAAACATCAATATTAAGACTTTCCAAAGACATAGCCAGCCCTATCTGTTGACCAACCTGCATAAGTGTGCGAACGTTGAAGGCAGCCAGTTTGAATGGCGCACGTGGTTTCAGAAAAACTGCTTCAGTACTCATATTCGATGGTAACATACAACTTTCAACCGGACAGTGACTCGAGAACGTTTAGATACAGTCGAATTTCCACCAAAGACGAGCCGCTGTATAAGTATAAAAGAGGGTGAATAATGTGGTAAATAATAATAATAATAATAATAATAATAATAATAATAATAATAATTTGATTGTTGTTCGAAGCGAGAAAAGTAGTTTCCATAGATATAGAGAGTTCATCATTTGCGTGTGGGCTGCGATACTGCCCGTGTGCCCAGACCGAAGCAGGTGGTTTTCTTAGGGGGCCACACCCCGAGCTTTTGACCTAAAGGTCTAACCCACAAGGCAGTGGAGCATCGTAAGGAGATAAAGTCCAATGGTAGCCGGTGACCAAAGATTGGTTCATACGCCATTTGTTCCCGCAGGATACTGGAGCCCATGTGCACCATTGGTTTGTGATCCGGTTAAAGCGCCGGACATTCGCTTTTCGTCCTCTCATTTTCGTAAACAACACCCCCGCCACGAGAAGGCAATGAGTAGGACTTCCCTGGCAGAGGCTGTATACGCGCGGCCGTGTGAGAGTATTTCGAGAGGGAGAGCGGACTCTCGGCCGTACCAGGGCATTCGGGGGCTAGAATAGTAATCATGGTTAACGTGTATTATAATTTGCAAATTATTGTTCTGAAATTGATCCTTGACAGTTACGCACAATCTAATTTCACTAGGTTATGACAGGCTTTGCTTTTTCTAAATAGTATTTAAGCTACCCTACCTTCCAAGTCTCATCATTGCTAACATTAATCTTACTAAGGTAGATTGTATCAGTCAGTCATCTATAACGTAGGACCAGGCACTTATGTGCATCGGTCCACGTTGCCATATCTCATAAGCTCAACAAGATGAAAACCAAATTCATAAAGTAGTGGTAATATATAAAAGAAAAATTGCATATAAGGATATAGTACAGGAAGAAAGATTTAGTACGTAGAAAGAAAGATATGAAGCGATTTTAATCTCATAGTTTAAAGGAAGATAGAGAGTGTATACACCTACGCCATTGTGATCGATTCTGAGCCATGTCACCCACGGTCTCCAACTATTGGTTACGATAGCTGCGCGGGCCCCAACCAAGTAGTCTGCATCTGCCAACACGACTAAGACTAGAAGTTAGTGAATTCAAGGAGGTTAGCGACTTCAAGGATAGATTGTATGGTCATAAATAGTAATCTACGTTAACCACGCAGCTTTTTTATACTTTTTGGACGTGTTCTGCATGGTCTGTTTGCCTCTTGTGCAGTTATTGACCCTGAATTCAACCAAAGATAGCAATAATCCTAGTATTTCGTTTCTGAATTTAACTGTCTAATTTACATAACCAATTTTAAGTACACCATGAATATGTACCAATAATAGCTGTCCTGGTATGTAATTTCAATTTTGTTTTGAGTTAGTTCTGAAATTTGTGTGTTATGTATCCTTCATATTTTTGACTTGTCAATTTTATATCGCTTGTCATTATTGAGTTTTCCGATTATCTTGACCGTAGTTGTAAGTACTTAGTTTATGGTTAAGAAAGACAACAATAATTGATGCACCTATTGCTTTATATATTGATGGTTATATTGCAAGACGTGAGACTTTTTAGTCTTCTTTCTTTTCCCTTCCATTTTGATATTCGAAGGTAGTGCCTACTTTTCGGGCTAAATTTATAACAAATATAATCTTCCATTTCTAGCTATACAATTATGTACAGAAGCTGCAAATGTTAGCTATGTCTGAGAATGCACAGGCGTCGGCATATGAAGTGCTTCGAGAGTCTGAAGCATGTCTGTTCATGCTTACAACTGTTGCTAAACGTCTATCTCCTCGTGATCCTGAGGGACATATTTCGAATCTTATATCAAAATTAGTACTCCCAGGTCTCACAGGACCATGCCCTCCTGCTCTTCAAGAAGTCGGTTGTATGTTGTATATGGAGTTGGCTCATTGGGCTGCCTGCCATCCTCAGCTCCGGCGTCAAATCGTTAACCAGCTGATTGAGATAATCGAGAGGTCTGCTGGCGTTGAGTCCCAATCTTTACAGGTTAGTTGTTTTGTAATGTGTTTTTCGTAGTATTTCCAAGTTATGTTTATTACCTCGAGTTCGAATGGAGTGTGTTTATTAGTCATTGAATTGAGATTGTAAAGAAAGTCAAGATGTACTTATGTTCGTAGTTCAAGTAGTTTTTCGTGAGCTGTAAATCGGGTTTTTAATCATAATATTTAAGGCACTTTGTTCTTAGTAAAGCTGGATTCATTCTATGTCAAGAAGAATTGTTTTTATTCACTAGATCTGTAGTCTTTTTTTGGTGAATTTTTTTTAACTGTCGTAATTCCCCTGACATAATCGTCGTTCTAAAAGATTGGAAATGATGAAGTAATCGATCATAGATACGAATAAAAATGAGGTGACAGCACCTTGAAAGTATTTATTCAGAATATGCTGGTCATATCCCACCAATAAGTTTACTGCTGAACGAGACGGGTAGATTTGTTTGTAGCGTAAATTATAGGATAAAATTTTCATCCCAATTTTTATGTGAATTTCAGTCTAATTTCCAGGTGTTAAAAACAAAACAAAACTTTTTAATAAGTGCTTAGATATCTTTGATTCGCGCTTGTGTATAGTGTCGTTACTACAATAGTAATAATCGTCTGAATTCACTCGCCAACTGATTCATAATTACTTGATTGATATCCAGGCAATCTGTTAACAGCCTAGTTCTACTCTTAATGAAGGTTTTTAATATTAATTTTGTCCACGGGTACACCGATTGTTTTTAATTTTCTGCTACATCCCAAGTTCCTTCGACTGTTTACTTTGAAGAAAATGTAATCTTAGCTTTTATGGAGTTGTATATCGGTTTCCTAGCAAATTAAACTAGTAATTCGTTTAAACGAAATTTGTATTTTTACTTGTATCACTGAGATGAGTCTCAGTTAATAATGTAAAATTTCGTAGATACAGAAACTACAAACAAGCTGGCGTTCCAATCGATTTACGCACAAAATCCTCTTTTTTGGTCGAATGTAGAGGACCAATGGCAAATGATGCTTCCCATGTCAAAGGTGTTTCATTTGACGATTGGATGATTTTCTCGAAGTCAACTAGTTAGCTTATTTCAATTGGTATTCAACATTGTAGGGTTTATGCCGTTTCGTGCTCTTACTTAATTCATCCTCATTTCTACTCTTTATGAAAGAAAAACACAAGCTTCAAGTAGCCAACCTAAAGGTCTAATGAAGAATTAGTTCTATTACCATTATTTATAATCTATAATGGCTGCTATTGTTTACTTGTGATGGACTTCATCGTTCGAAAGTTATTACCACTTGTGTTTACCGTTCGTTTTCACATATGAAGTATGGAACACTGTTTTTGAGTGTTTTATTTAAAATTAACAAATGCTGACCATATTCTTTGATTATTGGATAACTAAACGACTATTTCCAGTGGATCCCTAATAGTATCTATTTCTACAGATGGTTTCGCCGCAATAGGTAGGTGCATTGTATATTTTTGATTTTAGTATTTAGAAAGTTTTATTGGTTTGTCAATATAATCAATATCTTCCCTATAACAATCATAACTGTACAAACAGAAAGGCACAGGGAACTGGTTGTCGCAACTTTCCAAACTCATCAAGTGGTGGGAGACATTCATATTCTATAATAGCGTTAAGTTGAATTTCCAAATTCTTGACTCGTAATGCTGCGAAGAAAGTTCAACTTTTCTTTACTTGGCATCAGTCAATTACTCTTTTGACAACATTTATTAGTGTTTAGCTGGATTTTGACTTTTTATTTTGTATTCCAGCCAGGTCAAAAGCTTGCTGTTGGAGCGGCACTTTCAGCTCTTGGTTCTTTATGTGCTGTGTATCGCGCAACCCCAACATCTACACCAACGGAGATGTTTCTACTCATTCCCCTTGTAACTCCGATTCCCTTCGTCTTGCTCTAATTGACGAACATTGGCAAGATTTGGTCAATCGAGTTGCCTACAATCTACCAAGACTTGCTTGGGTTCCTATCCATGATGCTACTCATTTTTTCGCTGGTATTGGAAGAGGTCTAATATGCTCTGTGGGCACAGGTGGTGGGGGAGTTGAATTCGACCCTCGAGTGTCTAGACAAGCTTTTCCGATGAGAGTAGCACAAATATGTAGCGTCAGCTTGGAATGTTTATCTAAGGTAATTATCAACTTTCATGATAAGTAGTTTTGAATTTTTATCAGGAGTCTGTATGATTTAGTTTACGGACTAAAAGTATTGTTATTACACTACACATGTACAGAATAGTTTTTTTTTCCGCCTACTAATATAAGATACTAGCAATATGGTGAACAATATATTGTAGAGGTTAATTCCTCTGTATCTGAATCCAATAAATATTATCCCGTTAACTAAGTATTTACGTAGGCTAAATCTCCTAGTAATTCAGTCAGTAACAACGTAGAACTTCGCACGTACCTACATTAGTTCGTGTTGCCATACCACAATGGCAGAGAGATTCTATTGTCTATTCAAATCCCGTAGTGGTAGTAAGAGTATAAGCAGTAATCGGGAAGATGAGGGTTTGAAGATATTATTCAAGAAGTATAATACAGTGAAATAAATTTGGGAAGGGGAAAAACAGGGACATAAAGATTTCAGAAGATTAGAATTTGAGGGAACACAAAGAGTGGATGCACTTGCGCCATTGCAAACGATTTTGAGCCATGTCATTCAGGGTCTCTAACCATCGATTGCTATCGTCTCGCGGATCCTAACGTACCAACACAGCTCAATCCACTTATCAGTGACTTCATGGATTTGTGCCATATTGTGGTCTGGCCGCCCCTGGCATTCTTCCAACCTACTCCTACACCATTGAACATCGCACGTCGGGGCAGTCGGTGGTTGGGCATACGTAACACGTGTCCCAGCCAACTGATGAAGTTTCACTACTTCATCAATTGATTTTCCATCCTTACCTAGAACCCGTTCCCTAACAACTGCGTTACTTAGTTGGTGGTCCACTGTTCTGTGGGTTAGACCTTTGAGTCAAAGGCTCGGGGTGTGGCCCCCTAAGAAAACCACCTGTTTCGGTCTGGGCACCCGGCAGTATCACAGCCCACACACAAAAAATGGACTGTCTACTTATGGAAAATATTCTTCTTGCTCCGAATAACAATCGAATGACTCATATTATTATTATTATTATTATTATTATTATTATTATTATTATTATTATTATTATTATTATTTACTACGTCATTTATTCACCCTCTTCTATTCCCACACTGTGCATACTTGTTTTTCGACTTCTCGACCTTGAGTATGCGGAAGATATTGTCTTACTGTGCGATAATGCCCAAGGCATGCAATCCGCACTTAATCAGTTGGCAATCAGTGTCCGTAGGTATGGTATGTGCTTTGCACCTTCGAAGTGCAAAGTACTCCTACAAGACTGGCAGGATTCCAATCCTGTACTCACTATGGATGGTGAGCAGATAGACGTAGTCGAGAAGTTCGTGTATCTGGGTAGCTGCATAAGTGCTGGTGGTGGCGTGAGTGATGTGATCAATGCACGTATAATGAAAGCCAGAGCGGCTTATGCCAATCTGGGCCATCTATGGCGCCTTCGTGATGTCAGTCTGGCTGTAAAAGGTCGTGTCTACAACGCGTCGGTGAGATCAGTTTTGCTCTATGCATGTGAAACCTGGCCTCCTCGAGTTGAGGATGTTAGACGACTCTCTGTGTTTAATCATCGTTATCTCCCAAGGATTGCTGCCATCCAGTAGCAACATCATGTTAGTAATGCAGAGGTTCGGCATCGTGTGTTCGGGCACAGAGATGATAATTCAATTGGTGTCACTATCTTGAGACATCGATTTCGGTAGCTTGGACATGTTCTACGAATGTTGTCCCGGAGGATCCCTCGTCGTGCATTATTTGTCGACTCTGGGACTGGTTGGAAGAAGCGGAGAGGTGGTCAGTGTATGACATGGTGTCGTGGTATGAAAGTTGCAAAGGGCTGGCTTGCGTTGGTCCTTCACGACTCCCTGGTTGGGGTCTGAGAGATGGTGCAACACAGTGTCTAGAGACGTTATCAGATATGGCTCAGAATAGAAGCCAATGACGATCCTGCTGTAACTTTCTTTTACTTTCTACATAAAAAGTGGTTGTGTCTCCCTTAACTGAAAGATTTCTTCTGATTGTACCTTTTCGTTTCCCCCATCATTATTATTATTACGCTACCTTACCTTATTCTGTTCGTTATTGTTTCCTTTTTCTTTTATTTTTTTTTAACGCTCCTCACCTTTTTTCCTTCTCCTCTTCAAATCCCCATTGTTTTATGTGGCGCATGTATATTTGGTGCCCTCTTGTACCAATATTTGTGTTCAAATAAATAAATATATGGTCCCAGTTTATACGAGCGATGTTTCGAAGACACCTATGATCGAATACTAGTAACCTGCGAATATCTTCTACTCTTGCCCCGGCCATGTTTCTCTGCCATAAAGTAGGACGGAACGAACTGCTGCACAGTAAACACGTTCTTTGGTTGATAGATGGATATCTCGCCTACGCCATAAATGACGCAAGTTGGCAAAAGCTACTCGAGCCTACTGTATCCGTGCTGAGATTTCGTCACACACCAGACCACAAGGGCTGATGAAACTCTCAAGATAAGTGAAGCGGTCGACACGCTCAATTACTTCATTCCCTATCATTAGTTCGAGTGTTGATGCCACCCAATCCTGAAGTAACATTTTGTATTTCTAGAAGGAGAATCGCATCCTGAACATGCTTGCATTGTTGCTTACAGTGGTCAGAAGACTGCATTTTGTCAGCGTCTTCACCAAACAGAACTATGTCATCAGCATATTTCAAGTCAACAAGTGAATCTCCTGGTAGAAGTTCAATCCCTGGAAATTTAGATGAGCAAAGTGTTATCTCTAAAAGCACGTCAACGACAAAGTTAAATAAAAATGGAGCGAGTGAACAACCCTAACAAACACCACTTGAGGCAATCAATTCTAATGACAGTTCTCCATAAGCTCTCACTCAACCAGTTGTGTTTGAGTAGAGAGCCTTTATAAGGTTAATGTACTTCTTTGGTACTCCTTTCAGTGGCAAACACTACCATAGAACCTCACGATCAAGAGTCAAATGACGTCTTAAGGTCGAGAAATACTACGATTGCGGGGCGTCTGAATGTGTGTCTATGTTCTAGGACCTGACGTAGTGTGAATATCTGGTCTATACAACCACGTCCAGGTCTTAAACCAGCCTGGTTTACTCTAGTCTCCTCTTCACGAGCTTTAGTTAGGCGTCGAAGTATTATTGAAGCTAATATTTCAGACACTATATTTGTCAAACTGATTCCTCTGTGATTGTCACAAGATGACTTTTGTCCTTCCTTATAGACTGGCACAATCAGTGATTGAGACCAGTCAGATGGGATTACGTCCAGTTCCTAGATTCTACCTAAGACCTCAGTTAATCTCACTGCTAATACTGGACCACCATCCTTAAGAATCTCAGGGGTAAACCTGTCAGGGCCTGCTGCTCTGCCACGCTTCAGATTTCCTATAGCTTTTTCAACTTCGTAAAGAGACGGAGGATCTACATTAACTTGCCATTCAGGTTGACTGGAGATCGTGGGAAACCGAAGTGTGGCCGAAGGCCAGTTGAACTGATCACTAAAGTGTTCTGACCATCGATCCAATCTCCTGGATTGAGAATGTATAATATGTCCATCTTTCTCTGAGATTGTTTCGCTAACAGTTGGGTTCCTAATACCGGTTTCCTTAACAAGTCTGAACAATTGTCTGCTATTACCTATTCCCGCTGCCTTTTCCATCTCTCTTGCTTTCGCTACCCACCACTGTTCACGATCATTACGTAGACTTCTTGTCAGCTTCCGCTTAAGCTAACTCCGCTCTTCATTATGTTCAGAGTCAAATGGAATGAGTTTCCGAGCATCTATCAGTGCGATAGATGCTGCTGAGATCCAGTGTTTCTCCCTAACTTTGTGGTTTACCGTGCTAGCGGATGTCACTGCTGTTTCCACAGCTTTTCGGATATCATTCCACACTACCTCGGCGTGGGCATCACCTACATGGCTGCCCAATTGTTTTTCTTGTTGTTCCTGAAACGTATTCTTAGCTTGGTTATCAATAAGTAGGACGCTAAGAGGTTTCCTTGAAGCGTCTTTTCTACGCTCAGTAGGACGTAGACAGATACGCACTCACTCTCGAGCATGATCTGAATCCAAGCATGTGCTCCAGAATGAGCGACAGTCTTCTATTGAGCCCCTCCATCGGTGGCTGATAGCGATGTGATCTATTTGGGTCCAACGTTGGGACGAATTAGGGGGTCGCCATGTCATCCTAGTCATCTTTTTGGAAGAAATGGTCACTTTCAATATGTTGTCTCATATCCATCAGTGAATTCGGCCTCAATTTATGTCAATACACATGGATGTTTACTGTTCGTAAACACTAAGTGTATCTACAACCAATACTTTAGATACTCAGTTTTGTGCTATAGGATAGCTGGCTCCTGTTGCAATTTGCTTGTGTTCATTGTACTTAGTGGATGTTGGTCCAAATTCTATTTTGCCAATGTTCAGTCAGTTCGTTGGTCTCAATTACTATACGTTCATATGATCCTTCACTCTTTTTTTGGTCTATCGTTTTTAGCTGATGGATGGTAATGTCCATATCGAAGGTTCAGATACTCTCAGTGATCCCCGTGTATGGCTTGATTACCTAGCAGCACTGTTTCGTACTTTCAATTGCCTTTTACGACGTTTGGGAAACCCAAGTTCTAGTCAGTGGGACACAAGGGAACACAACGCTGTTGATCGTACTACGTCCGAGTTGGTGCTTTCTGCTCAGAATTGTTTAGCTGAATGCTTGCAGTTAGTAAGAGAAGTAATATGGCCAGTTGTTACCCGCGTACTCACACATTATGCCTCGCGCATGCGTCCAATGGAGCATGTTTGTCGTCTCATACGTTTCATTGTGCGTTGTTTTTCTGTGCACTTACGAGATCTTCTCCCGGAGCTTGCTGAAAAAGTAAGTTCAATTACTGATGATAAATTTATTCTGTCATGTTATTGCTACTATAACATTTGACAACTAAATGGATCAAAATGTAAAATTCATTTCACATTAAGGTAAAATTTTGTTGGTTATCGTTTATTTATTTCAACACACACGGTACATGGGAACGCCAAATATTTATGCGCCACACTAGAGGGATAGCGAATGTAAAGTATGCATAATAAAGTGAAGAAGAACAACAACCAACAGGAATTAGTGTATGAGAGTGAAATAGTAATAGTAATGGATGGGAGAAACTGTTCAGTTGGTAAAACTATAACGAGAAGGAATTCTTTAAGTTAAAGAAGAAAATAAGAGAGAGTTACAGCAGGATCGTCATTGGCCTCTATTCTGAGCCATATCTGATAACATTTCTAGTCACTGTGTTACACCATCCCTGAGATCCTAACCAGAGAGTCGTGAATGACCAACAGAAGTCAGTCCTGCACAACTCTCTTTCATACTACTACTCCATGTCGTCTACCGACCACCTCCGCTTTTTGCAACCAGTCCGAGAGTCGACAAATAGTGCACGACGTGGAATTCTCTGGGATGACATTCGTAAAACATGTCCAAGCTACCGAAGTCGATGTCTCAAGATAGTGACACCAATTGAATTATCATCTCTGTGCCCGAACACACGATGCCGAACCTCTGCATTACTAACATGATGTTGCTACTGGATGGCAGCAATCCTTGGGAGATAACGATGATTAAACACAGAGAGTCGTCTAACATCCTCAACTCGAGGAGGCCAGGTTTCGAAGGCATAGAGCAAAACTGATCTCACCGACGCGTTGTAGACACGACCTTTTACAGCCAGACTGACATCACGAAGGCGCCATAGATGGCCCAGATTGGCATAAGCCGCTCTGGCTTTCATTATACGTGCATTGATCACATCACTCACGCCACCACCAGCACTTATGCAGCTACCCAGGTGGTCGTATGCCTTCACTCTTCCTGAGGTGTTTGTATATGAGGCTTTTAAGATGTTAATAAACTTCTCAGACACACCCTTCTTCAACAGACAATCCCATAGAACAGTCCTGTCTAACAAATTGATGGCGGCCTTGATGTCAAGAGACACTAGGACTGTTGGCTTGTAATAAGTATGACGGTGCTCTGGTATTTGGTGGTGGGTGAAAAGATGATCAAAACAGCCTCGATAAGAACGAAAACCAACCTGCTCTTTGTGAGTCGATCTTTTCTGTTTTAAACAATCTGCGAAGTATGACGGTAGCCAATAGTTTGGACACAATCGGAAGTAGACTTATCCCCCAATAATTGTTGCATAGATTACGTGAACTCCTATTAAAGATAAAGACGACTATCGACTCATTCCACGATATTGGAACACCTTGTAACTACTAGAAATTTTTAAACAACTCAGTCAGTTACTTAACCAGACGGTCGTCACCAGATCAGTTGAGCTGCCCCTCAAAAAATCTGCCCATCGTCCAAGATGTCGGTAGATGTTGGTGATTGACACCCTGTCGTCTTTACAGATTGTTTAACTCACACCAGACGTCTTGCTGGCAGTGACTCGGATGAGTTGAAAGACCTTCCGGTAGTTACCAGATGCAGCTGCTGCTTCCAACCCATTGGCACGCTCCGACCACCAGGCTTCTCGGTTCTTATGCAAGCTATGCACATCTTCATTGCGTGACAATCTTCGTTTGTGGCCAAGCTCGAGGTCACCCAGAGTAGACCGATGGGCTTCAATGAGTTGTAAGGAACCTGAAGAAGCCCAGTGCTTATAAGCGGGACGTTTCTCGAACCCTCTACAGACTAATAAAAGAAACTGAAATTAATAAGTCAAGTGTAAGTCAGACTATTTCGGAAAAAGACGACACTCATCTGCTCACAGTCCAGACGTTTAAAACGGTGGGCGGGACATTTTAGAGAACAGTTCAGCTGGCCTTCAGCTACTCTACAACTACCCTCCATTCCCAGACAGTGTGAATGGAACATTGAAGTAGGTCCCCCAACTGTAGCTGAAGTTCAAAAGGCTATGGTTAATCTGAAACGAGGAAGGGCAGCTGGTCCAGATGGATTAGCTCCAGAGGTCTTTAAGGATGGTGGTCCAATTTTAGCGATTAGGTTTACTAATATTTTAGCTAAAATCTGGGAGTTGGACGTTATCCCATCTGACTGGTCACAGTCACTTATCGTCCCAATATATAAGAGAGGGTCAAAATCATCCTGTGACAACCATAGAGGGATTAGTTTAACTAATATAGCATCTAAAATACTAGCCTCGATAATGATCGGACGCCTAACTAAGACTCGTGAACTGCAAACACGAGAAAATCAGGCTGGCTTCAGATCTGGTCGTGGTCGCATCGATCAAATAGTCACCATTCATCAGGTTCTCGAACACAGGCATACTTATCGGCGTCCGACAATGGTGGTCTTTCTTGACTTAGAAGCGGCATTTGACTCTGTGAAGCGAGAGGTGCTGTGGCAGTGTCTGTCATTAAATGGCGTACCTCAGAATTACATAAACCTTGTGAAGGCTCTTCACTCGAACACTACTAGTCGAGTTAGAGCTTATGGCGAACTGTCATCTGCTTTTGCAACTTTAAGTGGTGTCTGTCAAAGCTGTCCACTTTCTCCATTTCTGTTTAACTTCATCATAGATCTGCTGGTGGAAATAACGCTCTCATCGACTGAATTCTTGGGCATTGATCTCCTACCAGGAGGTCCGCTTATTGACTTAGAATACGCAGATGACATAGTCCTGTTTGGTGAAGAAGCTGATAAATTGCAGAGTCTTTTAATAGCACTGAGCAACAATGCCAGAATGTTTGGAATGCGCTTCTCCCTCTCTAATTGCAATTTGTTGCTTCAGGACTGGTATGCGTCAACACCTGAACTAAGGAGTAGTCGAACGCGTTGACAACTTCACTTATCTTGAAAGTCTGATCAACCCTAATGGGTTGGTGTTTGACGAAAGCTCTGCACGGATTCAGAAAGCTCGTTTGGCTTTTGCCAACTTATATCACCTATGGCGAAGGCGAGATATCCGTCTATCAATAAAAGGACGAGTATACTGCGCGGCAGTTCGTTCTGTTCTACTTTACGGCTGCGAAATATGGCCATTAAGGTTTGAAGATACTCATAGGTTACAAGTGTTTGACCACAGATGCCTTAGAAATATTACCCACATCTGCTGGGATGACCGGGTAAGTAATAGTGAAGTTAAACACTGGGTATTAGGGAATGATGGTAAATCGGTTGATGAGGTGAATATTCATCGACTGAGACGCGTGGGCCACGTGTTGCGTATGCCTGAACACCGATTACCACGACGCGCAATGCTAACCGATGTTGGGGATGGTTGGAAGAAAGTTAGGGGCGGTCAAACCAAAACGTGGCATCAGTGCTTGAAGCCATTAACTTCTGTTCTGAGCCATGTTTGTAGAAACAGACTACTTGGTTGGGGTCCGCGTGACTATCGTAACCAATGGTTGGAGACTGTGGGTGACATGGCTCAGAATCGATCACAATGGCGTAGGTGTATACACTCTCTATCTTCCTTTAAACTATGAGATTAAAATCGCTTCATATCTTTCTTTCTACGTACTAAATCTTTCTTCCTGTACTATATCCTTATATGCAATTTTTCTTTTATATATTACCACCACTGAATGAACCACTTCTATGAATCCGGTGTCCATCTTGTTGTGCTAATGGGATATGGCAACTTGGACTGATGAATATATGTGCTTGATCCTACGTTGTAGCTGACTGACTAAATCGTCAACCACAGAAGCCGAATTTCACGTGCCCTGATCAGTAAATCATTTCCCCAAACAGAATAACGTCGTTTAGCAATATATTAGAAGCATATATAAGTACTAATGCATAGTGATATAAGTGTAATAAAACTGAATCTATGTAATCGACACCTTTTGGTATATGAGATTAAAATCGCTTCATATCTTTCTTTCTACATACTAAATCTTTCTTCCTGTACCATATCCTTATATGCAATTTTTCTTTTTTATATTACCACTACTTTGTGAATTTGGTTTTCATCTTGTTGAGCTAATGAGATATGGCAACGTGGACCGATGCATATATGTGCCTGATCCTACGTTGCAGCTGACCGACTAACTGACCTCTTTTCATTTTCGTTAAGTATCCCAAGCTAGGGCTTGACTTGTGACACGGTTTGATGATTTCCGCAACATATGTCCTATCCACCTACAGAATATTTTCCTAATTTCCCACCTCAACTAGCATCTTGTTTGTTCTCTGCCATATTCAATTATCGGTGACGATCTCCGAGCAAAGTACATGGAATATCTTGCGTAGAAAGTTGCTTATGAAGATCTGTAATTTTTCGATGGTGGTTGTGGTAGTCCCCCACATCCAGGTCCAGTACAATCGAACCATTCTAACGTTATCTGACTTTAGTCTTGGGTTGCAGCTGTTTGGAGCCCAAGATCTTCGAAGACGGGAGTGGGCAATGTGTCTGCCATCAGTCTTCACTTGGAATTCATCTGTGAGTTTCCTCCATACATGTCTTTGTAATAAAGTCCGTCATAGGAGCTCCGTATGATGGTGATGATGTTCTCGGGCAATCTAATCTTAAGGAGGACTAAGTTATCCATATCATCCAGCAACACTTAAGGTGTCTACTGTATTGCGTGCTTCTCTTAAGCTATGGAAGTCTTCATAATCTAATCAAAAACCTGAAGAAAGAGGAAAGGCGGGAGTGGGAAGTGTTGTCTGACACCTGTCTTCACTTGCAATTCATCTGTGAGGTGCCTCCATACATGACTTTGTAATAAAGTCCGTCATAGGAGTTCCGTATGATGGTGATGATGTTCTCGGGCACTCTATAGTTTCAAGTAAGATTCCACAAGTCTTTCCAGTTTGAACTGTCGCATGCTATTTCACAATTATGGTAGTTGTTGTATGGCGATAAATTTCATTTGGCTGATTGCTCAGCAATGATGTCCTGTGCCGCAATTTGGTCGGTACATGATATATCCTCACGAAATCCGATTTATTGATTTGAGAGTATGGTGTCTACTGAAAATTTCGTTTGGTCCAGTAACACTCTGTTGATAACTTTGCCTGGAACTGACGGTAGTATGATGTCACTTACTAAGATCTCCTTTCTTCAATGTTTTGATAGGGTTTCCCTCTTGAACTTGTCCTCCCGTTCAGAGCTTCCTTAAGAGAATATGTTGCAGTTGCCTGTATACCTGACTTCAGTGCTTCCACCGCTATGCTTTCTGGTCCCTCTACTTTGACATTCTTGATTTGTCTGATGGCATTGATGTTTTTTATTTCTGGCACAGTCACATTTGTAGGGAGGCCTTTGTGTTATGGGTTGAACGGGACTAGTCTATTCAGGAACTCTTCAAAGTGCTCTACGAGTCTGATCTGCTTCTCTCTAACCTCAGTAACTGATTTTTCTTGTTTGTTCCTGACTGGTTGCTCTGGTCTACTATATTTCCTCATTAGCTTCTTGATTGTATCATATGGTTGCTTGACATGTCCCTTCCTTCCAATTTGTTTTATTGTAGTCGCTAGGTCTTTTACATATTTCAACTTGGTGCTTTTCTTCACTCACTTGTTGGCTTCTGTGCATTTGGTCTGTCCCTTGACTTTCTCCGGTCTTGTTCGATTGTTGCCTTGCTGACCTACATTACCTGAATCTCCCCCAAACTGTCTACAGAGATCCGTTGTTTATCCTGGTGCTTCTTGAGATCTGGGATGTTGAAGTTACTATTTCTTTATTCTCTTTCACTTTCTCTGCTTCGTGGTTTCTTCTAGTAAATCCACATGTATTTCCTATAGTATGAAGTTATATCATCTCTATTATTGTCCCTCATGTGAACCTTATTTATACATATGTGATTAATTTGGTGTACTGTGTGGTGGATTGTTTAGACGCGAGTGGCTTTGCGTATGCGTTTATTGAGGAAATGCCGTTACCTATGACCATTCTGCTGAAAGTACATAAATTTGTCAGTCTTCCAACATTCTCCCTTCTTTATCCTAGTCCATGTCTCCCCACGATGGTTTCTTCCCTGGTGTTTTCAGTCCCAACATTAGAGTTGACATCCCTCATCAGGATGGTCAGGTATTTTTCTGTTGAATTTTCTAGCATGGATTTGAACCTTTCACGAAATTACGACTACTTATGTTCAAGTGGGGTGTCACAAGCCACTGGTATTCTTATTATTATTCATAATCAAAATATAGCCACATCTCTTCTGACGTTGATATCTTATGCTTAAATTGTGTCTGACAAGTTGTACTTACTGTAACCGTAACTGTAATGTATCATTTTATTTACAGATTTTAAGTTTATTAATCAGTTCACTGTGGTAGTTGTTTTTATGGCGGAATTATTAATACGATACTTATATTCAACGCTCGTTTACCACAGTAATCCTAAAGAGATTCCAGGAGTTCGTCATAGTCATAAAAGTTTTGGAAAGCTTGTATTAAGATTATTTGTAATTTGATGTCGTAATGAACATGTGAAATTACGTATATTTATTCAGATTAATTGGTTCAGATTCTGATACTTCACTTCAAGTCACACTCTAGGTTGGACTGATAGTTAGCCCTTTTCGGTTCCCCAGACTAGAGAATGTGGCGTATGTTTCAAACCAGCCGTTTACTGGCTAAAAATCGAATGTCTGAACCATCACTTCACAACGTAATATTGAATTAAGCAAATATTATCATTATTTTCATTACTACATTTTTTTACCTACATCTGGTAGTCCATAAAAAAATCCAAACATTGATAAATCACTATTTTTTTTTATCGCCTCTGTAGTAGTGTTTTTATGTTAACATTTATTCTTACCTCTTGTTTACTTCATTCAGCTAGCTATATGTCTGCTTCCAAATCAGATTATTTTCTGATTTTTCAATCTTTAGTTCAATTATCATAGCCCTGATTACCATATATTATTAGAGATCTAAGGAAAACAACTTTCCATATATTTTATACAAATTAGGCTAATCAAACCCACTTCATATACTGTAGTACGATTTGTAAGCTACAAAATTAAATCATGAATGCTTCTCTGCACATGTAAGTAAGAATCATTTCACTTTATTAATACGAGTTAAATTAGAAACATGATCACTATAATACCAGTTCACGGTCTAAAAGTTGTATTATTTGTATGGGCTGGTTAAACACTACTCATAATGATCATATTGTTAGCAGCTGTATCTAGCATGACATTTTGAGGCTTCATTCAAAAATTGAAAAATGGGTTGTTTTCACGCTTTACTTGATTTTTGAGTAGATTACCGTGTTAACATATTACGTAAGATTAGATTTTCGTCTGTGATGAATCTTTTCAATAATTGTTCGAATCCATTTTTGAGTCCTGTTAAAATGTCGACTTTAATATGCTGTAAAAACTAAGTTTGTTTTTCTGGTTTAATTTCATACTTTTATGTATCAAAGCAATGTTGTTTCGAACAGTTTTTCTCAAATTTCAGATTGTACTGTCTTACACAACTGGAGGACAACATTCAAGTTTTCTCTATTTAACAAGCGTGCTAGTTGATGAATTCGGAGAACAATTAGATTGCAGAGTTGGTTTGGTTAACGTGTATGAGGTAATTTTTAAATTGAAAAAAATTTACATAATTTTCATTGGCAACTTCAATTTCGGCACAAACGATCAAAATAAGGTGTAAAATAGTTCATTAGATAAATGAGCATTGTAAAAAAAATTAACACAAGCATAATAGTGTTTAGCAATAAATTACAAATATCTAAATTCTTCTTATCCAGTTTCAGTACAACTAAATCCAACGATCAGTTTGTATGAATTTTAGTTTTGTATCACAGTCATATGTTCGGGTTTCAAGCCCTTGTAGTAACATCCATTTATGCTAAAAAAAGATTTATTACACTTGACAATTGCTCATTTTCACCAAACCAAAGTGGTAAATTATTTCCTATTTCGAAAATAATCACTGCGATACATGTTCTGAATATTGCATACCTACTGCATTATGCGAAGATTTGTAAATATTTTCCCCAAATGCCCTGGTATGGCCGAGAGTGGGGAGAGTCCGCTCTCCCTCTCGAAATACTCTCACACGGCCACGCGTATACAGCCTCTGCCAGGGAAGTCCTACTCATTGCCTTCTCGTGGCGGGGTGTTGTTTACGAAAATGAGAGGACGAAAAGCGAATGTCCGGCGCTTTAACCGGATCACAAACCAATGGTGCACATGGGCTCCAGTATCCTGCGGGAACAAATGGCGTATGAACCAATCTTTGGTCACCGGCTACCATTGGACTTTATCTCCTTACGATGCTCCACTGCCTTGTGGGTTAGACCTTTAGGTCAAAGGCTCGGGGTGTGGCCCCCTAAGAAAACCACCTGCTTCGGTCTGGGCACACGGGCAGTATCGCAGCCCACACGCAAATGATGAACTCTCTATATCTATGGAAACTACTTTTCTCGCTTCGAACAACAATCAAATTATTATTATTATTATTATTATTATTATTATTATTATTATTATTATTATTATTATTTCCACATTATTCACCCTCTTTTATACTTATACAGCGGCTCGTCTTTGGTGGAAATTCGACTGTATCTAAACGTTCTCGAGTCACTGTCCGGTTGAAAATTGTATGTTACCACCGAATACGAGTACTGAAGCAGTTTTTCTGAAACCACGTGCACCATTCAAACTGGCTGCCTTCAACGTTCGCACATTTATGCAGGTCGGACAACAGATAGGGCTGGCTATGTCTTTGGAAAGTCTTAATATCGATGTTTGTTGTCTATCCGAGACCCGTATTCAAGACTCTGGCGAAGTACTACAAATTCGATCTCCATCTGTCGCTTCGAAAAGCTTGTTTTACGTGCGCTTATCCGGGGACCCTGTGGCATCTTCGTCTGGTCTTGCTGGCGTTGGTGTCGCACTAAGCGCTAGAGCTGAGGCAGCACTAGTCGATTGGATCCCCATTAACAGTCGGTTATGTGCTGTTAGATTAGAAAGTTCCATCAAAGTGAGAAGAAATCGGCGTGAGAAACGATGTCTTTTCGTCATCTCCGCCTATGCCCCGACAGATTGCAGCCCGGATGCAATCAAGGATGAGTTTTACCACCAGTTATCTGTTCTTCTCCAGAAAGTGCGTTCGACAGATATTGTAGTACTAGCCGGAGACTTGAATGCTCAGGTCGGGCGTCTAGGCACAGAAGAGAGTCGTTTAGGTGGCCGATGGGGACTCGTTGGTCGCAGGTCAGATAACGGGGACCGTCTACTGCAACTTGCACAGACCACAACCTGTTTCTGGCTAGCACTAACTTTCGGCACAGTCATCGCCGATGTGCCACCTGGCGTCCTCCCTCTGCATCTCAAGCCTGGACTCAGATTGATCACATCGCGATCAGCTACCGCTGGCGTGGTTGTGTAAAGACTGCCGCTCCTTTTGGAGTACCTATCTGGACTCTGACCATGCCTTGGTCTGCGCCAATCTTGCCTTACTTTTCAGTGGACAACGAAGTGACCACCACCAACGGATTGATGTTAGCAAGCTGGTTGCAACTTCTGTTGCAAGTAAGTATCGAACCGAGCTAGCCTCTAGGCTAGCTACCACTCCACCGAAAAGTATAGATGAGCATTGGTTGCAATTGCATGACGCCATGAAAATGGCGGGAACAGTCAGTTGTGGGTTTGCGAAACGTCCCGCTTTTAAGCACTGGGTTTCTTCTGGTTCCTTACAACTCATTGAAGCCCGTCGGTCTACTCCGGGTGACCGTGAGTTTGACCATAAACGAAGGATGTTACGTAAGGAAATTGGGCAAAGCTTGCGTAAGGACCGAGAAGCCTGGTGGTCGATGCGTGCTAATGAGCTGGAAGCAGCAGCTGCATCTGGTAACTACCGGAAGCTCTTCCAGCTCATCCGAGCCACTGGCAGCAAGAAGTCTGGTGTGAGTGAAACAATCTGCGAGGATGATGGGATGCCAATCACTAACATCCATCGACGTCTTGGACGATGGGCAGAATTTTTCGAAGGGCAGTTCAACTGGCCTGCTGCTCCGGCAACATCGGTCAGACTGTCCTGCCCTCCATGGCCGGTGACGACTGATCCACCAAATGAGGAGGAAGTCCGCAAGGAACTCCAACTCTTGAAGCGTTACAAATCACCTGGCCCAGATGACTTACCTCCGGCTCTTTTTAAAGATGGTGGTGACTTTTTGACTAAGGAATTGACGACGTTGTTTACAAAGGTTTGGGAACTAGAGAGTGTACCAACGTCATGGAATGAGTCGATAGTTGTCCCTATCTTTAAAAAGGGTTCACGTCGTTCCTGTAACAACTATCGGGGGATAAGTCTACTTCCGATTGCGTCCAAGCTATTGGCTTCCGTCATACTTCGTAGGTTGTTCAAAACCCGAGAAAGATTGACTCGCGAGGAGCAGGCTGGGTTTCGTTCTGGTCGAGGATGTATTGATCATATCTTCACCCTCCGCCAAATGTTAGAACACCGCCATACTTTCAAAGGCCAACAATCGTAGTGTTTCTTGACATCAGGGCTGCCTTCGATTCGTTGGACAGGACTGTTCTCTGGGATTGTCTATTGAAGAAGGGTGTGCCTGAGAAGTTTATTAACATCCTAAAAGCCCTATATAAAAACACCTCAGGCAGAGTGAGGGCATACAACCACCTCTCTCCATTGTTCCATTCGAGCAGTGGGGTTAGGCAGGGTTGCCCAATCTCACCATTCCTCTTCAACTTTGCCATCGATGACATTCTGGAAACAGCTCTGATGAATGTAAGTAATGGTGGTGTGGATCTGTTGCCTGGAGAAAGACTTCTCGACCTTGAGTATGCGGACGATATTGTCTTACTGTGCGATAATGCCCAAGGCATGCAATCCGCACTTAATCAGTTGGCAATCAGTGTCCGTAGGTATGGTATGTGCTTTGCACCTTCGAAGTGCAAAGTACTTCTACAAGACTGGCAGGATTCTAATCCTGTACTCACCCTGGATGGTGAGCAGATAGACGTAGTCGAGAAGTTCGTGTATCTGGGTAGCTGCATAAGTGCTGGTGGGGGTGTGAGTGATGAGATCAATGCACGAATAGTGAAAGCCAGAGCGGCTTATGCCAATCTGGGCCACCTTTGGCGCCTTCGTGATGTTAGTCTGGCTGTAAAAGGTCGGATCTACAACGCGTCGGTGAGAGCAGTTTTGCTCTATGCTTGTGAAACCTGGCCTCTCCGAGTTGAGGACGTTAGACGACTCTCTGTGTTCGATCATCGCTGTCTCCGAAGGATTGCTGACATTCAGTGGCAACACCATGTCAGTAATGCAGAGGTTCGGCATCGTGTGTTCGGGCACAGAGATGATAATTCAATTGGTGTCACCATCTTGAAACACCGACTTCGGTGGCTTGGACATGTTCTCCGAATGTCGTCCCAGAGAATTCCACGTCGTGCATTATTTGCCGACTCTGGGACTGGTTGGAAGAAGCGGAGAGGTGGTCAGTGCATGACATGGTGTCGTGGTATGAAAGATGCAAAGGACTGGCTTGTGTTGGTCCTTCACGACTCCCTGGTTGGGGTCTGAGAGATGGTGCTACACAGTGGCTAGAGACGTTATCAGATATGGCTCAGAATAGAAGCCAGTGGCGATCCTGCTGTAACTTTCTTTTACTTTCTACATAAAAAGTGGTTGTGTCTCCCTTAACTGAAAGATTTCTTGTGATTGTACCTTTCCCCTCATTATTACTATTATTATTACTGCATTACGTTACACCAACCTCTTAGTTATTGTTCTCTTTTTTTTCACACTCCTTAAACTTTTTTCTTTCTCTTCGAATTTTCATTGTTTTGTGTGGCGCATATATATTGGCGCTCTCTTGTACCAATATTTATGTGTTCAAATAAATAAATAAAATAAATAATAAATGTTTCCCAGATGTAGAACTTCGGTTGTAAAAGTTGACTTGAACGTATTTCTGATATTATCCGGTCTTCGTAATATGTAATATTGATGTTGGAAATTTCCTGATTTCAGCACATTTTAGACCTAAATTTTACAAGTAGCTAATTAATTCCACGGTCGTGTATAACTAAAATGTATTTTGTTAAAATCCTGTTAAGCAGGGATGAATAGTGGCTAGCAGTGTGGTCCAGTAGGTGCGTTTCATCCTCTTTGTGACTTGTCGGGATTGATTTTCATTCCTAGACTCGGGCGCAGTACCGTTCGCTTCGAATGCCTTCGCTTTATCTACTTAGCTACTGATTCCAGTCCATCTCTACTTATACTGCTTGTGACTTAATGGCAACATTGAGGCAATCCGCACAGGACGCACATATGCCAAAAGAAACTGATCGATTTCGGTCATAAACATCAATGAGCAGACTCAAACAACCAATACCAATGAATTAAAACCCTTCGTCCAACATTTACCATTTTTATTGTGTTATTTTAGAAACATATTTCCTTAATTTTGTCGTACCCTATTTCATATAGCTGCGTTATGATTACTTAGTTAATCATCTTGATTACACGAGTCTTTATCAGAGTAAAATGAGTTGTTTGTCGAAATATATTTTCTTATACTTCGAATAAGATTCGCCAGGTACTAGGGGATTTAGTTTGAGGTAAATCCTCAAACATTCGTTTACTTTCTAGTTATTTCAAAGGTATTTAGTGTGTTTATTTTGCGAAACGTTATTGAAATATGGCTTGTTTGTTTATTTGATTTTCTTCATCTATTTAGTTAATCAAGATGAATTACTCTGGTCATTTTTCTTACTCTTGAAAGTATTTTCAAACAAATTTGTTTATGAATTTCTTACTAGACTTCAAGAATTCGCTTTTGCACTGTACTTGGATATTGTTTAGTAATGTGTAAAGTATGACACAATTTAATTTGTTTACAATAGTTTTACAGGCTTATAATGAATGTGATATTTATTTAAAAGTATATTTATCTGTATTATTTGTGTCTCTCGATTGTAAAATGCATATACTATTCTATCTTGAAGTTTTAACTTTTTGTTTAAAATGTCCACCATTTTGCAGGCATTGAGTGGTCCAACACTGAAATCTATCTCTGGTTCTGGCCTTATACAACAACCGCATACTGTGGAAGATCTATTTCGGTTATGCACTCGACTTGTACAACACTGTGCAGCTGTTTTTCTCACCAGTAGCAGGATCAATTTGAATGAACTCTGCGATACCGCTGTCTCTTCTCTAAATCTGTGTTGTACCGGCCCTGGTGCTGGTTCGTCTAGTGATGATACACCGGATCCAAACTCATCTAATAATGATGAATCGAGTTCATCGTCAGCTTCTACCAGCGCATCAGCTGCAGCTGCTCGATTTTTCATCGAACTTATCATTTTTACGAACGAGGCATGTGAGGAGACACCAATGCAGGTTGTACAGATTTTGGAGTCTGGTAGACATCTTCCTACTCCCTCTTGCCAGTCAGCTCTTGCTGCTCAAAATGTTATTGTGTGGTTAACTTACTCCAGGCCTACGCAGCCTACTGATCCTAGTAATATGAATAGTTGTTGCGGCGGACAACGGTTAGTTTCAGCATTATTGCAAGCATGTTGTCTTGGATTAATGGATGAAAGGTTTCCCGAGATGGCGGATATTTTATATCATCTTAAGGTCATGATTAATCAAGAAGTAAGTATCTATTTTTGGTAGAGCTTCTATGTGTTGTCTTATTCGATACCTAGCATAGTTTTCGCAAATTAAATCAGTACCTTAAAGTTCTTGTCATTTTGAACTCCTTGGTTTTCTCCAACGAATTTTTTCTCTTTATTATGCGTGTTTACTACGGTGTCTTGAAGAATGAACTCAGTGCTTCAATATGACTACATCTGAACATCGTTAAGTCTACCTAACTATTTAATTTACCCATCCTCATCCAAGTTTGGTTTTGTTGGATTTGTTATTTCTGATCCCCACGTGCATACTAGATAATCACGAAAGCTAATGCTAACATTATTGAAAAACGTAATTAAATAAAAACAAAAGAAAGGTAGATAATCGGCAAACATCATGTATAATTGTTTAATTCTTCTATTGGGAAATGTCCCTGTTGAAATTTAGTGAGTATTATGAATTTATAGTTAACGGACTTATTTTAGCATCTTCTTTCTTAGGTTTTGCTTGTTGAACGATGCATTTGGTTTTTATTTTGTCAAATCTTTCAAAATATGCGATCTTAACAAAAGCCCAACCAGGAATAAGTCACTTCTAAAAAAGTTGATCACAATTCAGTATTTCCAATTCCAATGCTATATTTCCATATCCGTATATATATATATATATATATATAGATGTTTCTTAACTGGCTGAAGAACGCAGTAGCCAATTTGTCAACTATGCGTACTGATGGTTTAGTCCAAGCTACACAAGACCAAATTACCGATTTTCAAGATGTTGTTATAAAGTGAGTCTGCTTGTGTAAACAATTTTCAATCCTAGTTCTACAATTTTGTTTTTTTTTCTACTCATTGTTGTCTATGTTCATACATATAATAACGGTTAGTGTAATACTTTATATCAAACTAAAATTAATATTCCCTTCTTAAATTATCTCGTATAAAATGCACTGTATTAGCTAATTTTACATCAGTATGTATCGTAATTGTCCGTGTATGTAAAAATTGCGAATGTTTCCCATTTCATTACTGTGCGAACTAACATTTTAAATCTTATTAACTGCTTCTCACTTGTTTCGTATTTGTGAGGTACGCCATTTAATGACAGACACTGCCACAGCACCTCTCGCTTCACAGAGTCAAATGCCGCTTCTAAGTCAAGAAAGACCACCATCGTCGGACGCCGATAGGTATGCCTATGTTCTAGAACCTGACGAATGGTGAATATGTGGTCGATGCAGCCACGACCAGGTCTAAAGCCAGCTTGGTTTTCTCGTGTTTGCAGTTCACGAGTCTTAGTTAGGCGTCCGATCATTATCGAGGCTAGTATTTTAGATGCTATATTAGTTAAACTAATCCCTCTATGGTTGTCACAGGATGATTTTGACCCTCTCTTATATATTGGGACGATAAGTGACTGTGACCAGTCAGATGGGATAACGTCCAACTCCCAGATTTTAGCTAAAATATTAGTAAACCTAATCGCTAAAATTGGACCACCATCCTTAAAGACCTCTGGAGCTAATCCATCTGGACCAGCTGCCCTTCCTCGTTTCAGATTAACCATAGCCTTTTGAACTTCAGCTACAGTTGGGGGACCTACTTCAATGTTCCATTCACACTGTCTGGGAATGGAGGGTAGTTGTAGAGTAGCTGAAGGCCAGCTGAACTGTTCTCTAAAATGTCCCGCCCACCGTTTTAAACGTCTGGACTGTGAGCAGATGAGTGTCGTCTTTTTCCGAAATAGTCTGACTTACACTTGACTTATTAATTTCAGTTTCTTTATTAGTCTGTAGAGCTGTCTTGTGTTCCCTATAGCCGCCGCCTTTTCCATCTCTTCTGTTTTCGTTGCCCACCGCTGCTCACGGTCGTTCCTTATACTTTCGCTTAATCTAGATCTGATTTCTTTTCGCTCTTCATCGTGTTCAGAGTCTGATGGCATGAGTTTACGGGAACCCATCAGTGCAATAGACCTTGAAGAAATCCATTGGTTCTTTGTAACACTGTGGTTTAAATCACTAATAGATGTCACTGCTGTTTCCACAGCTGCTTGTATATCTTTCGAAGCAACACCTGAGTCAGCCTCGAATGTGACCATGAGTCCGGAAACTGCGTCTGCCAAAACTTTGTGAACCTCAACTTCAACATCTATGGTAGCTACAAGCACCTCCACTTGTTTTGCATGCGAACCAATCAATCTTGAGAGCGATCTACCTGTCCAAAATCCGTTGTCGGTTGATACTTTATCTTGAAATCATAGCCCAACAGTGTAGTTGCACATCGCTGTAGACGGTTTGCTGTATATACAGGGATACCTTTTTTGGATCCAAAAACTATCAGTAGCGGTTTATGGTCTGTTAGTAAAGTGAACTGTCTGCCAAACAGCATGTTGTGGAACTTTTTTTACAGCAAATATGATGGAGAGGGCTTCTTTCTCTATCTGACTAGTTCCTTTCAGTCATAGTCGGCCATCTTGCAGCCTGGGCGATCGCGTTCTCTGACCCGTCAGGGTAGGTATGTGAAATTACTGCTCCGATTCCGTATTTTGACGCATCTGCTGCTACTATAATTGGAAGAACTGGAACATAGTGTGTAAGTAGATGGTTTGGTGATATGAGCTGCTTCAGTTTCAGGAATGCTTCCTGGCATTCGGTTGACTAGAACCATTTAGTATCCTTTTTCAATAAGCTATTAAGAGGAGCACGAAGGCGATGCAGATCTGGAAGAAAAACTCCATAATGACTAACCATTCCCAAGAAAGAACGTAAAGTTGATACATCCGTCGGTGGAGGTATGGATTTGATAGCGTCGACGTTTTCAGGATCAGGTTTCCTCCCGTTTTTATCGATTATGAATCCCAAATAACGGACTTGCTCCATGTAAAAATCACATTTTCAGCACGTAATCTGAACCCATAATCTGCTATGCGCCTGAAAACCGTGTCCACCTTATTCTCTAAGTCAGCATAATCTGTACTCACGATCAGTATGTCATCGAGATAGGCTGCGGTACCAGGAATATCTTGTAACATAGTATGCATAGCTTGTTAGAAGATTGAAGGGGTGGTCTTTACTCCAAAAGGAAGTCTGTTATATCAGAACAACCGTTAATGAGTGTTTATTGTCAAGTATTGCTTACACTCTTCCGCTACTGGAATCTGTGAATAAGCTTCTGATAGGTCTAATTTTGCAAAATACTTACCCCCATTCAGTTTCGCAAATAAATCCTCTGGTACCGGCAAAGGGTATTGATGGGCTTCAATTGCTTCGTTTAATCCAGTCGAATAATCTGGCTTTTTGACAATCACTATTGGTGCTGCCCAATCAGAAAAGTTTACTGGTTCTATTATTCCACTTCTTTGCAGACGCTCTAATTCTTGTTCAACATTAGGCAGCGCTGTATAGGGTACCGGACGTTTTGTTCTGAGGACGGGGTGACTCCCGGTTTAAGAATCTGTAGTACTTTTACCTTTTTGCACTCCCCCAGCTCTTCCGTAAACACTTGACTATGTCTTTTCAACACAACACCCTTCATATCCTTTTCCACTGGTTTATTGGTTCTCATGGCGCTGCATATGTGGTTAATGGAGTGATTTGCTAATTGTAGTGTTTCTATCAGGTCTAGACCCAGCAAATTTAGTCCTGGGTTCTCTGTGAGATATAACGTTGCATCCGTCTTCGCGTTTCCGTTTGGAACTGTACAACAAACCTCTCCAACAATATCTAATTTCCCTCCAGATGCACTATGAACTAACTGGGTTGTTGGGAGCACCTGTGGTTTTCCGATAAGATTCCAGGTTCTTCGACTAATAAGTGTGATATCGGAATCAGTGTCGAGCTGCAGGCGGGCGCGCTTTTTATTTATATCTAGGTTTACATACTTTCGTTGGCGGTAAATTTTTGCACGACTATGTGATATCAATATTTTGTTGGTTAGAGCAGTATATCTGTATTTCTTGGAGTATGGTTTCGAAGAATGTCATTTATGGGTTCTTTTCCTGAAGCGGTTTTCTTTATGGCCTTTCTGATAACATTTGCTAAACAATGTTCTTTATATGGGCAGAACCTGTTATAATGCCAACCTCCACATAACCAGCATGGAGATGAGGGCTGATTATCTGTGTGCGATAATTTTCTTGAACAGGAATTTTTCTTTCCGCTTACAGCATGAAAGTATGGCAACTGGCCATTATTTTCGACCATGGAAGTGTCATGTTTTAAGTTTATCAATCTCTGGCACTCTGTGGTTACTTCCTGTAGTGTTATATTCGGACATTGAACAATTTTACTCAGAATTCTGGTTCTAATATCATCATCTTCGGGAGATTGGAGGCTGCACACGAACACGAGACACTTAAACTGATCTTCTCTCATTGCTGATAGTTTGAAGCGCTCACATTCACGGTTTACTAACCCCTCATGCTTCACCCAGTCATCGTCACCTGCTTTTGTTATATTGAGACATTGATAACAAATATTAAACAAGGATGACTGTTCAGCAAAGATTTGCGACAAATTTTCAATCGTTATACAATAAACAGGGCACACAGGTTCACAAGTTAGAACACACAGCTGCTTGTATATCTTTCGAAGCAACATCTGGGTCCGTCTCGTTTTCAGAACTACCTAAGTGTGACCTCAGTTGTTCCTAGAGCCTACTTTTAGTTTTCTCTTTACTCGGTTCAATTCTAATGGGTCTTTTTAGTGTAGCTTTTCTGGGTCCAGTGAGGCGCAAGCAGATGCGTGCCCGTATTAGGGCGTGGTCGGAGTCCAAGCAGGTACTCCAGAATGAGCGACAATCTTCTACAGACCCTCTCCAACGATGACTGATGGCAATATAGTCTATTTGAGTCCATCGTTGGTTTGGTGTAGGGGGTCGCCATGTTAGACGATGTCTCTCCTTATGCTTAAAATTTGTGTTTGCTAAAAATAAACGTTTGTCTGAGCACAGTTACAGCAGACGATCACCATTATCTGTTCGCTGTGCCGGAATACCAAAATACCCACCTAAATGGTTTGGTTTAAGCAACCTACTTGGGCATTAAAGTCGCCTGCTACGAGTACTATGTCTGAACGTTTAGCTTTCTGAAGAAGTTCAGATAGCTTCCTGTAAAATTCATCTTTCACTTCATCCGAGCTGCAGTCAGTGGGAGCGTAGGCAGAAACGACAAAAAGGCAACGACGTGTGTCCCTATCCTTCCGAGTTCTTACGGAGCCGTTTAGCCTAACAGCACTTAGACGCTGTTAACGGGGATCCACGTTTATAGTTCTTGTTCTGCCCTCATGCTTAGCGCTATGCTTACACCTGTCAGTCCACGAGAACTAGCCATCGGGTCGCAGATACGCGGAGGGTGTATCTCGTCGGCTCTCCGTTTTGCCGAGGTGAGGTCAAGTGAATGACTACACTAGGATCCCGTATGCGTGTTTCGGTGACAGCCTACACCAATAGTACGAGATTCTGGAGTTTTTATACAAGGAGGCCTGTTGACCGATTTGACATAGTGTGCGTACGTTGAGGACTGCGATGTGTAGTTTGGAGCGAGGTTTCAGTAGACAGCAGTGTTTTGAGCACTAGAATCGTTGGCTATGGTGACACTTGAGGAGGAAGCCGAAAGAGGAAGTTTAGAGTTGAAATTCGATGTAGGAGGAATAATAGGAATTCAAGAGGAAGGTTGATTATGAATACAGTAGTCCTGAGTGCTGTTAGAGGTATGAGGGCGTTTATCACTTCCCCGTTGCCCACACCGTAGAAGGGTTCTTCTGGAGGTACCTGGAAAGGAAATTGGATTAGAGGTGGTCATATTGACCTGAGAGTGCGGCTGCAGTGCCCAAGGGACAGCTGCTTGAGGTCGGTCACACACGACCTTTTTGTGGGTAATTTTGTGTTAGCTCCGTACTTGTTGAGACCTTACCGCCGTGGACGGATATTCGTGGTATAAAGTGAGGTGTGACATTTTTAGGGTCGACCTTCCCTAACCCCACCCCTCCTTGTGGGGAGGCAGCATCGCTGTCATGCTGGTTGTCTGAAGGAAACACCTCACTGCCGTCACACCTCTTTATAGTCAGCAGTACGACTTCGCCCTCAGACCTTGGGTTTGTTGCTTTTAGTCTTACCGCTCTTCAACTGACCTGTCTGGCATGGTAGGACCTTGAGGAACGGTTGTTCCAGCCAGTATAGCTTGATTGCTTCATCACGATGCGCACGCCTGACTACCACTTCAAGGTAGCAACAACGGCCGGGCTTGACGTTTTTGACCTATTTCATGTACGCCCAGAAAGATTTGGTTTTCTTTTGTAATCTCCAGTATGGATTACCATGAAGAGAATTTATTGTAAAGAAGATTCCAAGTTCATATATTAGTGTTTTATTCTGTAAAATATTTTCGTCTGTGATACTAATATTCAGATACCCAGAGGTTTTTGAATGTTAACAGATAGTTTGGTAGTATCTAATAGACTGATGAGATGCAATTCTGATTATAAAAAAAAAACATGATTAGTAGGTATTTATACGGGTTGGATTATCGTTTCTTTAAACAAATTTGCGCTTGACAAGTAAAACTTTTCAACAAAGATATTTAAATTAGTTGGAATAAATAACAAATCCAACTGCACTCTTTCAACTCCCTACATATAATTGAATGGATATTATATATATAATATTTAATGTGCTGCTGAAAGCCGTTGTTGTATACTTTAATTTGTTCCTAGACTTGAATTCTTGCATATCGATATTAACAATATACATGACCACTTTTATAATCTCATTTCTTATTCTTTTTCAGTTCATCCCGGAGTTCAACGATCGTACATGCGCTTGACTCATTTTCAAGATTGTTCCGATGAAATTATGCTCCCTGTATACAATTTTCAGTGTATAAAAAGTATTCATCTCTCACTTTGCACTATTTTAAAACAAGCTTCTACCTTTATTCTAGATATCTTTGTTGTTATGAGCAATTTTAACCAATGTATTTTAAAACCTTATATACAGCCACATTTCGAGAATTTTTCCAATCTCCTTGAACCTACTCTTTTTATCCTTAACTATATGCAGAATCCAGTCAATTTGGTTATAGTAAATGAGCTATTTAAAATCAAAGAGAACATTTTAATCCGGGTATATAGCTTTATTACCATTATTACTGACTTAGATTTCACAGATTATCAAACCTTATGAACGGCTTAATAATTTTCCATAGCATGGCGATATTGGTAGTAAATAATAATGTTTGTTTCACCAGGCTTTACAAATCGATCTTTGAAACTAAAATATAGTGAAGGAGAAATCTCAACGATATCTGATCAATTGATATACATGTTTAGAAGCACATCATGTCCTACTCATAATATTGAAGCTTTATTTTTGTGGACGTAACTGTACCACTCCCAAGCTTTTAACTCAAAACAGTTTGTCTTTAGGAATGTGAATGTTTCATTGGGGTAACATTTTGCAATTAATCGATGTCTTATATCTGTCTTCTATTCAGTTTTTACTATTACGAATAGAATCTTGTTCGAGCCGCTCTTTAATCGTCATTGACTCTTCCTTGACAAGAAGTACTGGATTCTTTTTGGAGTACATGCTACAATCAATGCTATCAACATATTTATTCGAAATGTTTCCCTTAGGTTAAGGTTACCCAACAAAATATTATGTGGTGCTATAAAAAAAACCTAGTAGTTTTGGATAGACTTTGTTACTCAGTATGTAAACGACACAATGACAGTATCCACTACAGTAGATTTGTGTTCTCCAACAAGCTGATAACAACTGAGAAAACAAAACACTCGGAACAATAAATGACGTGTCATTAAATGTGGTAGGAACTTCAAGGGTATTAAGACGCCAAGTCTAACATTACACATGGTTTAAAAAATTTAAAGCAGCGACTTAAAAATCCATTTTGACTATTGTGGTTGGATCAACGACTGTTATATTATCTGCATGAAACAGCGCGTTAATTTTATTCTGACATTTAATCCCCCTTTCACATATTCAGCCATCATCAACACAACCTAGTACAGCATAATGTACTTAATACGAAAAGCAGGAAAAACGAGTATAATTCAGTATCTTTGAGAACAACATCAAACAGTAAGCATAGCGTTATCTTTAACGATAAGTACATTTCAATAATTTCGTACATCTTTGTGTACCGAAAAATTAACTTGGGTGACTGATATTTCAACATGCATAACGCTACATCACGACTTTACCAATAATTTTACTATTTGTGAAGTGTTTCAAGATATTGTGATGATAATGATCAGGGTTTTTTTAGTCTAACTAGAGTACGTTGGACATTTGAAAGTCATTTTACTAATACTCTGCTCGTGGTTATGTGCGTTATTGTCGATCGTTAGTTTTGAACACTCATTAAGGAAGAATGAATGAGAACTACTTCACATATAATAATTAGCTTACTGCACATTTGCGAACAGTTAATTGTCTCTAATAAACATATCTTTCGTTATATCCCAATGAGTGAAAAACTGTGTTCCTGAGGTTTTGTGTCTTAATGTAAGCCGCTCCTTCAAAGTGAATACTCGGGATGCGACAAAAAGTATTAAAACACAATTGTATGAACGAAGAATATTCTTTTCAATAATTCCTCATCAGGCTCTACAATTATACATTCAAATTAATAATCCATAAAATTGGCCGGATTTAAGGCAGACTACATCATTTGGAAGTTGTAATATGTGAATTATCAAATCATATCGTCAATGTTGTGGCTGTTTAATATAAAGTGTTAACTTGAATCAGTTTATAAGCGGAATGAAATTGTGCGATGAATTATCAGAATAAATATGGTCAACATGGGGTGAGAGAGAAAATAATGGAATAAAAATGGGAGATTACGTAATATGTAGAATAATGTGAATGAGGTCAGATAGTAGATTTAGGGGTGGATATTGAATAAATTCTTCAGAAGGTTATCAAATGTAAAGATAATGATAATAATAACAACAGTAGCAATAATAAGTTCGGGACATAAAATGAACATGAATTAGATTACGTCACCATACTATAAAATTAATAATTTACTAGTTGGCCAGGGTAAAAGTAGTGGCTGAACATCTTTTGGATGAAAAGCTCTGGTACTTTGATCCGAATAGCAATTGATTCAGCCGTCTGTAGGATTCGCAGTCTGACGGAATCAGGTAGACTGCTGTTAACACGACCGATTATTGCTAAAGATTGCTCCATGTTGGCTGTATGTCCTGCTTGAACTAGATGGTCTATGATGTAGCTGTTAACAGTTTTGACTACCTCTGCTTAACCACACGAAGAGGTGCTCACGAGCCCGAATGTACAAATTCCCAAAACATCTGCCAATATAACTTGCCCCACAGGAGCATTTGAATTGATAGATACAGGAGGTGGTTAGTCTAGGTAAATTATCTTTCAACCTCGGAGTGATTATTGGTCGTGTGGAGAATATTAGTCGTAGTTTACCCTCAATAAAAGTCCTTTGAATTGATCTGCTTAACTTAATTCTTAGCATTTCTCTCGGTGCATCGCCTCTGAATTGTAAGCGTATATACAGAGGTTTTTTATTTACAGTTGGGCATTCTCTATGCTGTCTTTCACTGGCTGTTTTTGTTTATAAATTTCCCGGGATATCCATTTTCCTCCAGGTTATCTATAATGACTTTTTTTCATATTCAATCGTATCCACAGAGCATATAGTCTTGATTCTATGATGTAGTGTCTTAATAAGGGACAAAACTAAGGAAGTCCGTACATTGACCCGTTCAGGTAATTTCCCTGTTTATGTTTCTTCTTAGCGACCCGTTCTTCCTCCTTGTAAGTAGAACACCTAGAAAGGCTATTTTACCCCCATTTTCTTTCTCCTATGTGAATTTTATGGACGAGTGAACTGTATTGAAACGCTAGAGTGTTTCTACGAAGTTCGTCCGGTTATTGCAAAGGATAAATGTATCATCCATATATCGGCAGTAGGATGAAAACTTATTGACCTCTTGTGTTAGTTGGTCGTTTTCCAATTTAGAGAGGAGAATGTCTGCCAATACGGGACCCATGGGTGAACCCATCGCGACGCCATATATTTGTCTGTAGGTCTCACCATTGAATTTTAAATGTACATTCATAGTACATTTTAGTAACAATTCTTTTATGATCTCCACAGGGATTGTTGTTTCCAGTTCCTATGCTCTAAGTTGTTCACAAATATATTCTACAGTTCCTCTGAGTGGGACATTTGTGAACAATGATGCTACGTCAAAGGACATCATCGTCTGGTCTTTCGTGTTTGTTTTTAATCTTGTCAACGAATTGTAATACATCCTAATACTATGTTTCATCAGGCGTATATGTATTGGTTTCAAAACGGTTACTAACCACTTTGCTACAATATGATATGGAGAATCGTACATGTCCAAAATTGACCTTAATGGGATATTCGGTTTATGTATCTTCGGCAGCCCGTATAATCTAGGTAAATGCGTACCTATCGGCCTAATTATTTCGTACATGTCTGTTGGGATCATCTGTTGATCTCTCAGCTTTTTTAAAGATCTGGTCAGATCATTCTCCATCTTATTATTGACATCTTTTTGGCTATTCAGTTTCTGAAATTTTTGAGGATCATACAGGACGTTATTCATCTTTTTTGTTAAGACAGTTCCTGTTTCTTTATCGGGTTTTGTGATAGATTCTCGTCACTAATAAATTCATTTATGGCCTCCCTGTTTTTTAGAATACTTCTGTAGTTATATCTACTATTCTTAAACTGATAGCAGCAGTCAACTAGGTTTGATTTGAAACGTTCAAGTCCCTGATCTTAGGTCGGAACTAGATCTGTCTGACGATTTAGGTTTTCAAACTGGATGTTCGTATCGATTGATTAACACGGTTTCGTGTATCACAGAATTTTAGACCAAGTGCTAATACTTCGAGTTCTTCTTTATTTAATTCAGTACAGGAAAAATTATGCACATACTTTTCTGGTTCAGTCGGAAATTTATTTTCAACTGGTTGGTTTTCTAGGCTTTTGAGAAGTTGGATATGTTTCTTGTTTGAACCTCTTTTTTTATTTTTGTGACGTACTCCATAAACTGGGACTTAAGGTCTTCTGTTAGTCCATCAACTACAAATCGTCTGCGAGCGATACTTACTTCTATATCTGTCAAGTCATTATTCAATGTGTCAATTTTATTTAGTGCATAGCGTTTTAATGTTTTTCTATTTGGATGGACGTGATTACGGCGTAATGACTTATAGAACAGTTTCGGATAATGAGATGATTCGATACAGTTTTTTATAAATACCAATAATGTTTTCGTTTCTGTGAACTTTGCGTTATACTTCAGGAACTTATTGAGTGCCCTTAACGCAATGGGTTGGTCACAAGATTTTAATCGCTGAAAAATTTCCCTTTATAGTAAAACACAATTGTATGAACGAAGAATATTCTTTTCAATAATTCCTCATCAGGCTCTACAATTATAAATTCAAATTAATAATCCATAAAATTGGCCAGATTTAAGACAGAGTACATCATTTATCGCAAAATTTCATTTCACTTATAAACTGATTCAAGTTAACAACATACTAGTCAGTCCCAACATTAACGATATGACTTGATAACAAAAAACAATTCTTAATTCACATATTACAATTTGCAAAGGATTTACTCTGCCTTATATCTAGCCAATTTTATGGATTATTAATTTGAATTTATAATTGTAGAACCTGATGAGAAATTATTGAAAAGAATATTCTTCGTTCATACAATTGTTTTGATATAATGGGAATTTTTCAGCGAACAAAAAGTATATTTATTATTAGCTTTCTGCCTAATGCTCAATTTGTTTGGATCAGTTAGATGTTTTCTTCATTTCAGTTTTTATACCATCCAAACGGATTCAATTCATTTGGCTTGAACGGGAAGAACGGTCGAGCCAATTCTACAAATACGCCATATACCTGAATCAAGTCAAGTTAGTTGAGTCACATTCACGAGTCGTGATAATAAACATCCGTAGGATATTTTACGAAACAGTCTTCAGGGTGGGTTACATGACTTTTTCCAAATATCGTTGTGCGGTAGATGTATGATATCCTCGAGTTCTTATATCAAAAGCCGTTTCTCATTTACACATGGTTCCGGTTGAGAAGCGATTTGTCTCAATACAAATATTTTTACAGTGTATTTCTAAGGTTCGCCATCCAGGTAAAATAAATCCTGGAACAAGAAAGATTTGAGAAATTGTTAGAGATGAGCTGCTGAGTGAAATAAAAAATGGGATTCGTCTAAGAAAGCGTACGAAATCGAATATTCGCCAGTTGCGACTTCAAAACAAGGGAGCATTCGAGTAGGTTAAATGATGGCTGCAAAATCATGCCGCCAGATCATTGAAGCATGTTACGGGATTATTTATTTGAACACAAATATTGGTACAAAAAGGTAGCGAATATATATGTGCCATAAGTTACTTAATTTGTGTGTGGGCTGTGATACTGTTCGGGTGCCTAAGTCGAAGCAGGTATTTTTTGATTACTCATGGCAAATCAGTATGATACAAAGATACATTATTCACAGTCTTGTATTTCTCACTGCATCTAACCTCATCAGTCTTTTCCTGTTGTACAAGTACTATATAGCAGTTCGTTTCGCAGTCATAACATTGGAACTAGTAACAGTAACAGGTTTTTGTTAGGTTATTATATATTGTAAGAGGCATCCTTTTTTGCTACAGTTCGTTTAACTAGAGCAGAAATTAATTTGTAAGAGCATTATCTTGGAACATTTTATCGACATTTTAAAGAATCTGGAAATGTTCATAACCAAACATTAGATATAAACACACTGGTCATTCAAATGAACTAGATCAACTTCAAACTTTGAGCAATCTAAACGTTCGAATATTTACCAACTACGAAGAAATTCTGACTAATTTTTCAATTATTACAGTATATTATATTCTCTCATAAGAATTTTCGACTACATCGAGAGCTTTTTGTTGCGTAATAATTCTTTCAGAACATTGATATTCCCATGTTACGGCAACACACTCATTACTACTCATGATGATAGCTAGGGAATTTAGATGCTTTGTAATTGTTTGTCGTAGTGTGGATGTGTTTATTGTTTAGTTTCTTCTAAATCTTTTCTTAATCTACTTTTAGCTTCTAGGCTTCTTAATTTTATACGTTTTTGTACTTTACTTTTAAAATTTTGGTCTTTGTAATAAAATATTGACAGCTACTGTTAGTTACTTTGATTTGATGCGTGACAAATGGAATATAGGGACGTTAGTGCGGCGCTCAGGAGTTTTTTTTAACCACCTAACCAAACCTGTTGTATGAAACGCGTTTTCGAGATTCAGATAAAATATCTTTAGATAGATGTAAAAAGTAAGTTTACACTTCAGACGAATTACCAGATCACATCAGTTGAATAGGCAATCTAAATCACTTCTTTTAAAATCTTCGGACGCATATATTGCTAACTGTGAAGAACACAAATAGAGAAATAATACTACTTAAATTAACATAGATTCTAATAACTCGGACTAATGCAATCGCGACAGAAAAATTAGACTTAATGAAGCTCTTAACCTGCAAAGTCTGCAAGCAACCAGTGAAACGATGCTATTAAACCTACATCAATAGGTTGGAATATAAGCATTTGAAACAAACATTTATAATACACGTCACACTTCATTAAAATACCGCATTTCCAGGAAATTGAATATATGTATCACCTACAAATCAGGGCAACAATTTATACTTGTCTACTAGTTGTAAGCATTTACACCTGGATAATTTGCTCAACATTGAGAAAATGTACTTGAGATGCAAATGTTCACTGGGCCAAATTTAAAATCTTTAGATGCGTCCGTATAAGATTAGTGAGATAAGTGATCATCAGCAAATCTTTATAGCTTGAATTGATCAACTGCTCCAAATGATCAGGGTCTAATTTGGGGATTGAGAAAATCAACTGTGCTATAGACCTTCCGATTTTGGGGTCGGCTGGACATTTGTTATCGATAACATTTTCAACGTAACGAATGACCTGATCCAACATAGTGAGCAGATGTTGTGAAAGTTGATACAGATAGACCATGTCATCTCCAAGCTAAAAGTTTCGAATAGATCACAAAATTGTAATCCCGAAATGTCATCTATAACTGTTTATGGATAATATGAGTAGGCTTTAAAAAACCAACGTGAACAAGCAAATGTGATTAAACTAACCTTTTACTCGTTTCATGGGAGAGAAAAGTGAATCAAACACAGTCGAAGCGTTTTAAATCTTGTCACGTCGAATGTAAAAACACTCATATATCTACGAATTATACAGAAACACAACTCCAGAGGCATATATCATCAAACAAACTATAGATACTTTTCATATTTTTATTGACTAGAATCGATATTAATCAGTAGGCAATCAGTCAATCATACGCAATATAGGACCTTTATGTGCATTGATTCACATTGCCATACCACAGCGAAGCGAGATGACATTATCAAGGTAAATCCCAGAGAGCATGATTAATAACAGTTTCAGCAGTAATTGGACGGCTCAGGTAGGAGCGTGCAGTTACCTGACAGACAACACATATTCATACCACCTCATTCGGTGAAGATTCACTACCTTATCGACCAATTTCCCACCTTTACCAAACACAGCGTCTAACCTCCCCATTGCTCACTTGACACTTTCAATATATTTTAGATACTGTGTTAGTCAAACCGACTCCTCAGGGGTTATCACAAGAGCTTTATCCATATCTTACAAACTGGGACGAGCAGCGATTAACATCCGCCAGAAGGGCTTATGTTCAGTCCCCAGTCAATCCAGTTGCTAAGACTAAACTACTATCCCCAAAGATTTACAGGACTTACTTACTTACGCCTGTTACTCCTAATGGAGCATAGGCCGCCGACCAGCATTCTCCAACCCACTCTGTCCTGGGCCTTCTTTTCTAGTTCCATCTAATTCTTGTTCATTTTTTTCATGTCTATTAACATTTCCCTGCGTAATGTGTTTTTTGGTCTTTCTATCCTCTTTTGGCTTTCGGGATTCCATGTGAGGGCTTGTCTTGTGACGCAGTTGGGTGCTTTCCTCAATGTGTGTCCTATCCGCTTCCTGCGCTTTTTCCTTCGCTGGGATTTGGTTTGTTCTCTCCCACAGTACGTTGTTGCTAATAGTGTCCGTCCAACGGATCCGAAGTATTTTGCGTAGACAACTGTTAATAAACACCTGTATTTTCTGGATGATTGCTTTCGTAGTTCTCCAGGTTTCCGTCCCATACAGTAGAAGTGTCTTGACATTTGTATTGAAAATCCTGACCTTGGTGTTGGTTGACAGTTGCTTTGAGTTCCAGATGTTCTTCAGTTGTAAATATGCTGCTCTTGCTTTGCCGATCCGCGCCTTCACATCTGCATCAGATCCACCCTGTTCATCAATGATGCTGCCCAAATATGTAAAGGTTTTTACATCTTCCAAATCTTCTCCGTCAATTGTGATTGGATTGGTGCATTCTGTGTTGTATCGGAGAACCTTGCTCTTACCTTTGTGTATATTGAGACCTATTGCTGCTGAGGCTGCTGCTACACTGGTCGTCTTCTCCTGCATTTGTTGTTGCGTTTGGGACAGAAGGGCCAGATCATCTGCGAAGTCTAGATCGTCCAACTGCATCTTAGATGTCCATTGTATCGTAGAATTAATCTTCAGCGCCTTCATTGTAGTCGTTGATAGGCGCATAGCATTGGATGACGTTCATTGAAATGCCCTTTTTCTCTGTTTTGAAGGAGGCTTTGATGACCCTTGGTCCATGAGATTCCCATCCTATAAGTGCGTTTTGTGCTCGTTTGGACAGCATCAACGCAACTCGTTGTGTATGTGGAGCATTTTCTTCTTCATGGCCGGAGTATAACAGAAGCTCCCCTGAAGCTAGTGGTTGTTGTCCAACTTGTGTCCAATGTGTTTCACTGATCCCTAGCACCTCTAGGTTGTAACTCCTCATTTCTGCAGCAATTTGGAAGGCTTTCCCGGTGTCCCACATTGTACGAACATTCCATGTACCTAAATAAATGGTTGCTCTGGTTGTCAGAAGGGGTCTCGGCCTCGTAACTTTCGAAGGAATTCGGCCTTCATCATGAGACGTCATAGTTCTTCTAAATGAAGACCTTTTGACTCCCGGGGCAGTTCAAAAGGTTTGAATAATTTTTTCTGGTTAGAATTTTTTTAGCGAGTTAGTTTTCTATGGGATGGGGACGCTAACTCCATGCCCAACCCTCCCCCTTTATCCGGGCTTGGGACCGGCAGTAGCCCCCGGAGGGACTCCAGGACTATTGCACCCATGCCTGTTGCTTGTCTTTGTTTTAGGTTACTTGTAGCCTGGGCAACATCACTAAGATTTAGAGGATTTACATCAATTGCTCATTTAGGTTCTTTGAATAAAGTGGCTTAGTGAAAGCCGACTGAACTGTTCCTCAAATTGTTCTATTCATTGGTCTAATCTCCTGTAATTTAAGTAGATAACAATCCCTCCTTCCATTGAAATAGTTTCATTAACGGCCGGATTTTCGTACCCGTATTTTTGATAAATCTGAATAGTCTACCGTTCACCACTGCGGACTCCTACCCTATCTCTTTCTTTCAGTACTCAATACCTCACGATCATTGCGTCTTTAACAGTATTTTTAAGCTGCCTCTACTCTATGTCAGGTTCGGAACTTGGCGTGGAGTTTTGGGACATTTATCAGTCTTGTGGATGCTACAGAAAGCCGCTGATGTTTCTTAACGTTTTTGGTTCAAGTTGCTGGTAGATTTTACAGCTGTTTCGGGCTGACTGCTTCTCTTGTTGTTTTTGAAATAGATTTCTGACTTCTTCGTCATCAAGCTGAACACAAAGGAATCTTCTTGTTGCAGCTTTTCTTTGTCTAGTAAGACCCCGCAAACAAGTGCTTGTATAAGATTAACCATAGTTTAAACATGTGCAACAGAATGAGCGGTAGTCTTCCACGGGGCTCCTCCAACGATGGCTAAAGGGACTGTGGTCTATTTGCATTCAACGTCTAAGTCCATTGTGTGGGTGACCATGATGGACATCGTCTTTCCTTACACTTAAATTAGGTGTTTGCTAGAAATAAACGACTATCTGAATACATTTCCAGCACCTGGTCACCATGACCTGTTCGCTGAGCCAAAACTCCGTGAGACCCATTTAAATGCTTTACAGTTTGAGTTTAAATTACTTACTTGAGCAGTAAAATCATACATTATTACGTCTAAAATGTTGGGATTTTTAAGAAAGATGAAAGGCTTTCTACAAAATCCATCAGTGGGAACGTAAGTAGAGTCATCGAAGTGTGTACAACGTGTTTCCATCTTCTCGAGTTCTTATTATCCCATCTCCTAAACAGTGTGTAGGGCTACTGGAAGTCGACCATCAGCCACTTAATCCCAGGGTTGAACCCCGTCGTACCTACTTTGGTTTGGACAGCTGAGTGGCATCACATTGAACCGCAACACTAGTGGTGTGGCTGACATCGAAGTATCTGATTTTTTTCTTGCTGTTCCATACAGTCAGACAGTGCACAAGCGACTGTCTATTAAAATTTAGTTCAGGTGAGCCTGTTTTACTTTGAACTTAGTGCTATACCCAATTCAGCAAAGCCACAGAAAGTAACAATCACGTCCCAGGATATACTCTGGTTCTCCATTTTGATGAGGTGATGTCCAGTAAATGACCATACTTGGGTTCCACATCCGTGTTTGAAAGCATAGCACAAATCGATAGCATGAGACTTAACAGTCCCTTCTAAGGAAGCCTGCTGTTCGGTTTGACATTGAAAGCTATAACATACAGTTTCAAGGAAGGTTCCAAAACAAGAACATTTCGTAAACTTGAATTGTTAGCGTTGGTAGTGCAGATAGGAGAAAAATTAAAGTGACGAAAGGATTCGACCGATGAAAAGTTGGTCTCTGTTGTTGTTAGAGATATGAGAGTGGTTGTCACTTCCGGGTTGCTAAAAGCTAGTATAAAAAACCGTACTAAAACGAAATTTACCAGAACTATGTTATAAATCAGCACGATATTTTTTGAATAATCTGATCACGCATTTGCTTCCCAAGACCTTTATAAATAAAAAGCAAGCATAACTAAGGAAAACGAAATGGATCACAGCATTGACTTGTAAATTACTACTATAACGGCAGGCTAGAAATGAGCATAAACTGTCTCTGAGCACATTACGGAAGGATAAATCGTACTTCTGAAGCTACTATGAATTCTAGTATTCGCCCCTGGCCACTGTCACACAACACTACAAACGTTGACATGCTATCCAACCCGTGCCCCGTCTAATAAGATTATGTAATAAACAATTGTCCTACTCCATTGCTAAGCATTTAGTTGAAATGGGCCATAGGGTTTACATCAAATCAGTGTTTATAGTGTTATGTGAAAGTGGCCAGCGGGTAAAACTAAGGCTTACTGATTGTTCAAAATATATTGCGCCCATATATTACGTGGTTCTGATAAGCTTCGTCATCTTATTGCGTTACATAAATTGATTAGAACTTTCAAATAATAACTTGACTCAAAAATCAAACACAGGTGTATATTGATAACCGTCAGTTATGCTGAATACCAGCGAAATAGTTGAAAGTCGAGTGTTAATATATGGGTTTGTAAGGTCTTAGTTCCACAGGTATGAAATATGACTATTTAAGACAAGTCTCACCCTGCATACTGTTAGTATCGCACAAAAGAAAAGTAAAACTCAGACAATTAAGAATCCCATTGAACTTCAAAATACATCTCTTCAACTCAGCTCCATCTGTGATATCATTATTCTGTTGGACTACTACGAAAAAGTGTGATATAAACTAGTAAAACAATGTATTGATATATACTGCTACTTTCGAACAACACAGAAAGGTATAAGCCAGCAAAATTACATTAGTAAGTGCAAATTAAAAGGAAATGATTTTACGGGATGTTTATGGTTGAGATACTTTCGCCATAGTGGATTTCGAGCAGTTGTTGGCAATCAATACCGTGTTGTGCGTAAACAATTCACTACAGTTGACCTGCTTAATTGGTGTTATGATTTCGTCTAATCCTCATAATATTTCTTCAATCTATCTGCACCTTGACAGTAGCACACCTTGCTGTGGGAATTTACTCAATACGTGAAAGACTGGGATATCAATGAGTTAAGTGCAAAGTCACAACTAGTACTTTGATATCCCATAATTCCCTGTTAGGTGTGGATTGGTGTCCACGGCACTTGACTCACCTACCAAGGTTGCCAGTTCGAACTCTACATGATGTGCTTCGGTTTGGTGAGAAAAAGTAGCATTAATGGGAGCACATGAATTTATAAGTTAAATTACTTTTTATCCGACTGATCTTAACGTTGCTTAGTCGACGGTCTCATCACAATTATTATTTCGACGTTACTTGTAGTTAAATATGACAAATCATATGTATCACAACCGAAAAGTAACAGCTGGGGTTCATAATTTCAAGATCAACAATAACAACTCGTTCATTTTTATCGGATGAATTTTTAAAGCCTGACCAATGCTTTGACAACAGCTTGAGGAATGCCAAATTTAACTAGAAGGAATGAACCAATTGAACCTGTTTACTAATCTGTATTTTTAGATACCTCCGTAAGTTCTTGCCAACAGGTTTTCTTCGAAATAGAATTTTGCAGTTTACTAACTTGCCCAACTCCTCAGTGAGGACTCAGCTGACTTTGAAAAGCGGAACATTAGTGCAGTGGCAGACTTCGAATTGCGTTATAGGAAAGCAGTTTTATTGTGAACGTAATGACATCTAACCGATATTTGAGAAACTCTTACTGGTATGTCAGGTATTTCTAGATTATCTAGCAATCGTCTATCATATTGGAGACTTGCAGAAAAAGTTTTTTAGTCACAACCAACACATTTAGCAAGATTGGCACCTATCTGCTAACAAACAAGTAGGCATTTTTAAATGCGATGTCTCATTTTAGCAACTGTAACTTTTCTAGAAGTAGGTTGTCAAGTGAAAGGGTATTTACAAGCTGTCAGAAAATGTCATTCTGCTGTTCTACACCATGAAAATTGAGTCATCATAATGTGCTTTATATTTGAGTCTTACAAATCTAGTTAGTCAAAACCCTCTATAAATGAATGACAACCTTGCTAATGAACTGTGGTCCTACATTTAGTTATTAAAATGATGTTGAAAATGAAGACCAACAGAAACATTGTGACGTTAGAACTCTGTCTTAAAGCTAGACTAGTAAAAATTACCGCGAAAAATATTAATAGACAGTTGGCGATTGAGGGTATAATCCAATGAATTATCAGCTTACTTCAGGTTCCAATTTACTCCTTGGATCAATAGAAGAAACCATCATTTCAACGGCACAACGTTCTGCACCGTAGCACTCGACTTCTACTTCTACTGGTACAAAAATAAATCCCTGTGTTCCTCCAGGAATACCCATCTTCCTGCAAAGATAAGCTTTTATGGCCATTTTGTCCCCGATAGTCATATTTGTGTCTACCATTAAAAAGATTGCATTTTTGACTTCTGCATGTAAACATCTTGATGGATAAGTTTGAGGGTCTCCGGAATTTCATTCCCCGTTGCATACCACCCAACAATGTTATGAGAGGGGTTCACCTAAATACTTAATTATCTAGCAGCGATCACTTACTTTGCGCTCGAGAACGGTCATGTTGTTTTTGAATTCTATGTCCATAGACACATCGACCGCAGATTCTTGATGCAGAACACTGTAACAATGAGTAACTTCGATGATCCCTTTTCCCCAAGTCCCTGTGGTACTCATGAAAACAATGTCATCATACCAAGAAGAGTGCCAATAACCCTCTCTGATCCTTCCGCACGTCTTTCATATGCATCGACAATTGATGCTAACACCACAGGATGAACGTGAACCGCCGAACCTGACTCCATTCACGTTTAGCACGTTTCGTAATGTGCGCTCTAGCTATAGGTTGGTCTTCACTCTTCAATTCTGTATCTTCAGTTAGTCTTTTGTAATAAGGATAGAAGGTTAATCCTCACAACTGTAGGGATCAAATCTTGCCTTGAATGTACCAGAAGAAGGTGATGATATTATGTGTTCTGATCGAGAATCCTAGTTGAAATGGCTCAAATTATTGTGGATGGAATAGAAGAAGCTTTCCCTAAACGGGCTTCCGTGTCTAGTAGCAGTGGATCATCACTACCTCCATACAGGAACCTAGGTATATTAACGATAACAGAGGAAAAAGAGATTGGTAAATGATAGAAAGATATTATCATTATTCCTTAAGAATATATCAAGTTTACTCTTGAAGGACTCCTGAGAAGTCACTTGAACTAGCTCAACCGGCAGCGAATTACAAAATTTTACAATGCTTAAGGGGTGGGTGTATCTACATTTCGTTCTGCTGTGTTGGGTCTTCAGTTTCTGGTTCTTCTTGTGGTGGGACTAAGCTAAAGTAGGTGTTTAATGGGATGACAGAAGTATTTAGAATGGTGTAAGCCATTAGAAAGTCATCTCCAAGACGCCTGTACTCTAGTGGGTAAAGCTTCAGTAATTGGAGGCTCTCTTCATAAGACTTAGGTTCGAGTGAGGGAGAAAATACCATGTTCTGTACTCTAAATGAGGACGAATATAACCGTTGAACATTATGTGGAAAGTTTAATCAAACGGCACTTCTGTCGCAGGGTTCTGACACTCCTAGATCCTTTTCAACCTGAGATACCTCTGTTCGGGAGTTAGCTAGGTTGTAGCTGTAATCTGCAACATGCCTCAGATGGACTACTTGACACTTTGAAGTCTTAAAGTTAAGAAAATATGTGTATGGGACTATTTATATCAATGATGATCATGAAAAAGTCTCATTCAAAATATTTTTATAGATGTTTAGAATCCTTCGATTTCATATAGTGTTGAAGTACAAGCAAATGGGTAATGAATCGAGGGACAATATTGGGCGAGATCAGTTTAGAAACAAATGGCTAGTGTGTTTTTGATTCTATAGGATAGTTAGCATAGATTTATTTTGCAACTTGGTTGTTACTCGCATTTTTACCATTATTTCCCAGAATTTGTACGATTGTCATTGTTGCATAGGGCCAATGAAATGTCACTTAGCCCTAGCCATGTCACCCTGGAGTCAAGTCATTAAATATCTAAGTCCACCGATCTTCGTCATTGTCAACTATAGCCAACGCGAATCAATTAAGTGTGAGCACGGACTGGCATGTGCAGCTGTGGTCGCACTGGCTCCCTTGTACCCACTATAACTAATATATTTCTGTAATTACGTCACCCGTCTTGTACGATCATTAGAGCAACCATAGTACCTGGATATGATGAAAGGGTAATCCATGTCGGGTACTAACCATGAGGTATGACTTCAAGGTTAGCTGATTGGTCACGCTACTCGCACCTAACTTCAGTATGCCTCCGAATCATTAGATACAGATCATCTGTGCTGGTGATCTTCAGTTGATCGTCAGTGTTTTGTTTACAGGGAACATGACCTTTGATCTTCTACTCCAGTTTTGGTCCTCTTTTATATGACCTATTGATTATCGCTGACAATTTTACTGCTGCACACATAAGCTTTTTGTTCTCAATCAGAAAAACAGAATTCTGTTATATTCGCTGCCTGTGTTTACTGATCGTATGAATATTCCCACTACGTGATTAGTAAGGATACACATCTCGGATTATAGCAAATATAGTTTGAATTACCAACTACTTGTCCAAGACCAAAAGAAACTTGAACAGGCCTGCTCCTGACAGTCTAAGTAGCGTCCAGCACATTTTTCTTTCGTGTGTGATTTATTTTTTGTATATTGACGCACCAACATTTCTTTTGATAACTTGGCATCATTTTTGACATGAACATATTTTCGTTCAACACAACTCTTGCGAGACTTTGGTTATCGGTGGCCTTAGAAATAAGTGAATAAACCTATAATGAATGTGAAATCGAGCTACCGGTTGTGTGTTCTCTACGAGTCGTTGTTGATTTTTAACATGGTCGATTTAATTTTGAATACTTATTTGATTTATTCGCATGATGACAGAACATAGACTGCCATTGTAGATGCTTGAAGATTCCGATTTTGATAAGTTCAGCATTTAAAATAAAGAGAAATAAAGATTACTTCGAATACATTTCGGTGATATCTCTTTACCAATGGGTAGATGATTATTCTAGGTAATTATTGTTTCGGGTATTTTTGGGGGTGAAAATCTTATTAGCTATAAATGGAAAAACAATCTTACTAGCAGATCGATGTATTTGGGGTAAAACTGCGTAGTGTAAGTAGTTGTACCTCTACAAATTGACTAATGCACGATGTCTATTTCAATTATGTGAACATTGAGCTTGGAGCATTATTTTGGTAGGATTCATTGTTATTCCACTGACTCTACATTTTTGCGTTCATTTCACCGACTTGTTTTAAGAAGTCGTCTACTGTGCATGTAATAGCATCTCGATGAATTCACAAATCTTGAGGATGAGAGCAAATTATACAACCTTACGCCGTAGAGTCGGAACGTGAAGACAACTAATTGTTGTTTGATAACGCCTACATTCCGTTATTTTGGCATTTGCACATTGTTTTCGGTTGGATAAGAAGGTAGGGTAGGGGTAACGCATGTTGAGAGCATACTCTATTTAGTTCTTGTTGTTTTGCAATTATTGTCATACCCAGTTTGTTCGTTACGCTTATTTTGTTGTTCATTTTCGGTGTTATTACTGAACACTGAAAATTTGGCATCCAGTAGAATCATGTTTATGACTCGGTGGTATTCTGCGTTTCTCGTGTTGATCAACGGCTTCGTTCAACTGCCTGACAATCATTCAGTTTAGCTAGATGCGAATATTCATAACCATAACCAAAACGTTAAGGAGTGGTACTCAAATGTTTCTCATAAAATTGTATTTTAAACAATCTTCATTTCAAAGCTGTGCGAAGTACACATTTAAATCATCACAAATTAATATTTTTTATTTTGTGTACTCTGAAGGAGAATTAGCGAAAATCTATTGAAGAGACTTTTCTTCACCAGTGCCATTCTCTGAACTAGGTTTTCCCCTATTGTTCTTCAATTATGCGATAGTTTACTGCCTGTTGTTATAGCATTTGGTGTGATAAAGCGTCAGAGTAATAATCGTAGTACCTTCTTAATGCTGTTATTGCTACGTATAAATACTGATCTGGTCCAAACTTAAAGCATAGACGATAGATAAACCCATAAATTACAATCCAAGTAATAAAAATCGAGATTCTGTTTTTAGTAGCGAACATGTAGCTTGAAGGCAAACAATCCGAACATTTTGTTCCTATTATAAATGTGACAAATTTCATAATAAAACTTTGGTTTTCAGGTTTCTAGGGTTAAATACCCAAAAGATTAGGCCAAACAGACTACGTTCCTCCGTATGGCGTACAAGGCGTTTTTGAGTAACTCGTATAAAATTATATCAAAATACGTATTCTGAGTCCATTTTAAACGGTGTTAAATTAAGAAGGAAACCCCGTCTAGAGCCCCTCTGATGCTACTGCCGGTCCCAGTTCACATGTACGTGCCGTAGCACATACATTGGAAGAACTGAGAGAAGAGTACAGGTTCACATTTCTGAGCATATTCCGAAGAACATGACGCTGCGAGGGACTAAAGCTTTTAACAGTGCAATAGCTCGGCATCTACTTGACACCGGGCATACCGTCGATAATATGCGCGCGTTTAAAATCATCAATAGACAAAAACTACTACCACTCTCCGCTTTGCTGAAGCCATTGCAATTAAGAAACTGAAACCGGACTTATGCATCCAAAAAGAGACTTTAATAAACATATCACTACCCTGGTAATCTTTTTGTTTCTGTTTGTTTTGTGTTTTGGTTATTTTATTCCTTTACTTATTCTAAGATAATTTATACCCCACCCTATTACCGAATTTTTAAAATAAATTTTATTCACACATTTCCACCACCTGGTCCTCTTAAATCATCTTAACTTTCCAAACCCTATTTAATTATTATTACGTAATCTACCTTATCATTATTTAATTCCATTAATCTCTACAATTATCACACAATTTATGAACTCCACTAAATTAATACACCACCCATCCTGGATTAACCCCCCTCTTTTGACCTCTGACCTGTTTCTAGCATATATATATGTATATATATATATATAGTTATTATTGTAATCAAGTTATTTACACTCATTTATGTCAATTGTTTCACACTATCTCCATGTAAAAATTCTATCACAATTTTGGTTTGTAAGCAGCTGACGAGAAACCTCGAAATAATATGAATTCATATTATTCTGCATCAATGTTTGTTCTTGCTCTATTTAAATTCATAAAGGGAACCAATTGCATGAAATTTCTGAAAGAAGAGGGCTGAGCATGTGGTTAGCGACCCCAGCCTTTAGAAAATTAACTCGCTAAAAAATGCTAGCCAGTAAGTGTTTTGAGAAAAGTTCAAATTACACCAAAAATACATAATACCTCTA